AACTCAAAAACAAAAAAAAACAATATTAGTATTTCCTATAATAATCGTTAATCAGCCTGTGCTTAAAATTCAATATTAGGGATTATTGGTAACATACCATGTATTAATTTTTTTATCATTACAAGTAATACCAATATCTTGTATTCAAATCTGGGGAAATACTATATATAAAGAGTATTGGATAATTAACAGACTAGAAAGTGGTACTGCTAAGCGCTATGAAGTACTTGTTGCTGCTCTTTTTCGTCATTTCGGGTAACAACAATTTTGTATAATTTTTCTCCTACCCTTCAATATAAATACCTATTTTGCACTTTACAAAGTTTATTAAAATTGTATTATGTATAGGATAAGCCGGTAAACTAGCAGATGGATCACCTGATAGTAAGCAATCGGCATCGCCTTTAGACACCCGAAACACCAGCGTTACAAGCGCGTTACCGGCCTTTTGGGAATTGGGAATTTGAGGATTATGGGGTATTCGAGGAGTGGGGTAACTATGGAGGATTATGGGGGGTTAATTGGGCCTCCGGTAACCTCACTCACACGACGAAACACAACACAAGCGTCGTTTCACGTTAGTTTCCTGTGAGGCTAGGTATCATTCCGGTCGAGCCGGCCCATTCGTGCGAAGCATGCTCTCCCACACTAATAATTGTATACTTACGGCTGATGTCAATGTCAATAACTGAACCACATCCAAAGATTTTAAAATTAATTGTATACGAAGTTTTTATCAAAAATATAGTTCGATGCAAAAATTGGATTAAGATCGTTTATTATTTTCGGCCGCTAGTACTAAGTTGTAATAACAATTTAGCAGTTTCGTTTAGAGCCAGTACGGTGTGGTTGTGGCACAAAATATTTAAGTCTATCTGAGAGGGTGCTTAAAAGTATTTTTTTTTTCAGCGTGTTCCGCAGGCGTCCTTAAAGACCCCGCGCAGGGTTACAAGGAAGGTGACAGGTACTTCTATATCCCGGGAGATGACGGCAATCTTCACCTTGTCGATGCGGAGGAACCAGTTGATGTAGAATTCATCGAAGAATACTCAAGAAACTCTGCTAACAACGCATATTGGCTTTTTACAAGGTATAAAGGAAAATTATATATTTAGGTGATTTCGTTATACGTAAAACAGGAACATACTTTTTGTATAAAAAACACAGGCGAAACCATTAGACTACTATATAAGTGTACACTGTACAGTCTATAGAAGCTAAAATATAAATGTAGTTTAATTTGTATTCAATTCTACTTCAAACTGATTTAAATATGAATCTACAAAAACAAAGTGAATACAGTAAATCTTTGAAATATATCCCATATTTATGTAATTTTCAGGTCTAATCCTAATTCACGTCAAGTCCTAGTGCAGGGAAATGCAGGTTCAGTGACAAACTCAAACTTTCACTTCGGAAAAATCACAGTATTTCTCGCTCATGGCTTAAACGGGGATGGTGGAAACGAAATGAATACAAAGCTTAGAGATGGTAACAATATATTCTAAGATTCTGTGCTACCTTCGATTCGGAGAGATAAAATGAGTAAATATCCTACTTTTTATTTCAGCATTTTTGCAAAATGCTGATGTCAACGTTATTGTTCTCGATTGGAATCGGTTGGCGAACCAGGTTTATACCACAGCGAGAGCGGGAACTGCTGAAGTAGGAAGAGGACTCGGTCGATTTATAATCTGGCTCGTTGGATTGGGAATGTCCTACGATAGAGTACACTTGGTAGGTTTCAGTCTTGGTGGTCACCTTGTTGGAAACGCAGGCAGAGAAACGGGCTCTAGAGTCAGGAGGATCACAGGTAAATAGTAAACCATTTTTAACACAATTGTGATGTAGAATTACAATGTGATCAGTATATTTAACGACTATTCTGTTTTAGCTTTGGACCCTGCTGGTCCGTTTTGGGATAATGACTCCAACCGTTTAGTGAGGACAGACGCTCGTTACGTAGAAGTAATCCACACCGAAATAACAATTACTGGATTTAGAGATTTGTGTGGTGACGCTGATTTTTACCCTAACGGAGGATCGAACATGCCTGGTTGTTCGCTTACAATTAGGCCACTTTCATGTTCTCATGGTCGTGCCTACGAATACATGGCTAGCAGTGTAAAATACAACCATCTTCTAGCTAACCAATGTGGAAGTCTTAATGACGCTATCAATAACAGATGCACAGGATCTCTAAACCCCATGGGTAACAGCGATATCAATAAGTCACGGTAAGAACTAAAAAATACTACAAAAACTACCGTACCCCGCGAAATACGTTTCGCTTTCAAAAATTTTCTGCTCCTCTTCATAATTCTTTGTTACATAAGAACCTTCTCCCAGCAATAACAAAACCAACACAGTTTTGTATTTCGTTGTGATAAGATGGCGATCATTTGACAAAGTTTAAACAAATTTATTAAGTATCTAAAAATTCAGTTTTTAAACACAAACACACCCGAACATTCGCGCAAGTGCCCTGTGCCGCCTAAACGAAACAGCCGGCGCAGGCATACAGTTTTGGCGCGCTGTTAAAAGAGAGGGGGATACTCTCTCTCCTACGCCACGCCAGCTGTCTACTCTTCATGCGTCTTACGAATTTTCGATCAGGTCTCGTGTCCTGACGCGAGTTTTACATTTTTACCCATTACAAAAAAAGTGTACAAAGCCGCTAAAGAAGTTTTCACTTCAAAAAATTGTGAAATCGGTTCCGCTGCTATGGAGATTAGCGTTTAGCAACACATTTAGCGGTTCATTTTTATATTATAGAAGATTAAGATGAAATGTATGCAACTAAAAAGTTTTCTTTTTTCTTTGTAGAGCTGGAATATTTAGAGTCAACACACGCCAGAACTACCCATTCTGAGAAGAAGAAAGGAAAGAATAACGAAGAATCTAACGCGATTGAATATACTTACACAAAGAAAGCATTAAAAAGTTCTATTGATTTGATGTCTTGATTATTATTTAATCTTTTCAATCCAAATGATGTTATAAATTACATAATACCTCAGTACCTCAAAACGAAAGTCTATAATCATTGTGGTTACCAGCGATGACCTATGGACGTGAAACATGGTCTGTAACTATGAACCCTTTTTGGAAAACTAAGTAGCACTGAAGTGTCAGTGGGTGAGGGTTTATGCTCACTGCACCGTGCGTATCACACCACAATAGAAGTGCCACGCGATGAGTATCGACTGCAATAATTTATAGATAAACATAAACATATATTATGGCGATAGGTTAGGCCAATTACGTCACTATACTAAAGCTACCTGCAGTTATCAAGCACACAAACAGATATGTAGTATAACAACAATACATAATTATGTAACTCAGATAGCATATCAAGCTACCTACAAACAAGGACAGAATTGTGAGACTTTGATTCACCGTTTTATTTAAAATTAAGTTCTGACGATTTGAGTATTTGTGCGACCTCACCAAATGTTCTTTTGGTTGATTTTTCAACGAATTATTATCACTTACGTGCTTGCCATCAGAATGGGTCCTCTCAATCTTAAACGTATATATCAGATCAGATCAGTACCTACAGGGTAAAGTTGCACGGCTTTCTCGATCTATATTTATGTGGTCTCGACTTAAAAAGAGCCCTTTGTGACCTTTGAATTACTTTCTGTGTATTTTCTCCCAAACGAAGTGATCTCTAAGAGAAAACACCTTTCCTGGCCACCACGGAGTCCGACTCCGACTTTAACGGATTTTTGTGGGGCTACCTTACTGCTAAAATGTACGACACTAACCCACGCTCAATTGATAAAAGAAAGCCCTAAAAGAAAGCATTCGCAGAGAAATAGCAAGACTTTGCATTTATTGAGAAAAATTACCAGGCAATAACGGATACTAGTTCTTTACCACGTAAACATATCCTAACAAAAATATAAATCGTCCAGTGACTATAGACGCAATCGCAGATCCAATCCTACGGTAGCTCAAGTCATTGGTTGGTTGGTTTGGTGATATTGATTCTGTATTGAATTCAAATGGTTTTTTGAAAAAAATCCGTATTCTCGATGGAATGGTAATGGTGGAAACGATATGAATAAAGTCTTGACTGAAGGTTTGTTAGTAATAGTTACTATAACATGCTTGTATTGTTTTTGTTTGGAAATTTCTGAGTATTGAAGAGTTCAAATAAAGTTGTAAGAAATTAATAAAATATACAATTTATATTTAACTATAGTAAAGATACATAATTTTATTTTAGATGTTAAAATGCATTATTTTTACAGCATTCCTCGAAAATGGAGACGTTAATGTCATAGTTCTCGACTGGAATACATTCGCCAACAGAGGTTGCACTACAGCAAAAATGAAACTGCTGCAGTTGGTGACGGACTCGGTTTCGTAAACTGGCTCGTTTCAGAGTGAACACAGAGAGAAAATATCTGTACTAAATTGTTCTGTTAATACCTTCATCAACTGTTTTGAATAACTGTAGTATAATTATCACAATAAAATACCTACTGAGCATTTTATTATTTATTGGTTTTATTTTTTGTGAAGTGGATATTCTGGTGAATCATGGTCAAGTACAAGTTCAAGCTTTACCTAGTCTTATTAATTATTTATAGGGTGTTTATGATCCCATCAAGTGACCACTGGGCTTATAAGTTTTGCATGATGTTTGATTTTGTTTATTCTACTTTGAACTGCCCAACTACTAGATATTAATTATCTTTAAGATAAAGATATTACAAAAATTAATTTTCCTTTTATACCCTTTATTGCTTTATTTTATAACTCACAAACAGAATGAAAAAAACACAAATTAGTATTTCCTATAATAATCGTCAATTAGCCAGTGCTTTAAATTCAACATTAAGGAATAATTGGTAACAGCATAACAACATGTATTAATTTTTTTATCATTACGAGTAATACCAATATCTCGTATTCAAATCTGGGGAAATACTATATATAAAGAGTTTGGATCATTAACAGACTAGAAAGTGGAACTCCTAAGCGCTATGAAGTACTTGTTGCTGCTCTTTTTCGCCATTTCGGGTAACGATAATTTAATATTTAATTTTTGTCCTACCTTTCAATATAAATACCTATATTGCGCTTCACACAGTTTATTATAATTGTATACTTACGGCCGGTGACAATAACATCCAAAGACTTGAAAATTAATTGTATACGAAGTTTTTGTCAAAAATATAGATCGATGCAGAAATTTTGGATTAAGATCGTTTATTATTTTCGGCCGCTGGTACTAAGTTGTAATAACAATTTAGCAGTTTCGTTTAGAGTCAGTACGGTGTGGGTGTGGCACAAAATATTTAAGTCCATCTGTGAGGGTCCTTAAAAGTATTTTTATTTTCAGCATGTACTGCAGGCGTCCTTAAAGACCCCGTGCAGGGTTACAAGGACGGTGACAGGTACTTCCATATCCCGGGAGATGACGGCAAACTTCACCTTGTCGATGCGGAGGAGCCAGTTGATGTAGAATTCATCGAAGAATACACTAGAAACTCTGCTAACAACGCATATTGGCTGTTTACAAGGTATGAAGAAAATGAGTAAAACGCGAACTTGATTTTTTTGTGAAAAACACAGACGAAACAGTGGACAAGTATACAGTCTGTAGAAGCTAAATGATAAATATAGTTTAAATGTTTTCAATAGGGTAGATGACTAATTTTTATTTTAATGTCCGTCTGGTAGATTATTTTAACTCGTCGAGTACCGGTTTTATAGATACAATTAAAGAACAATAGGTCGCGGTCACCGGTGACCGCTTGGTGTTTGACAGTTTAAAGAACAATGGGTCGCGGTCACCGGTGACCGCTTGGTGTTTGACAGTTTAAAACATTAGACACGTATTTTTAATTTTTTACAGAAACGAATAGTTTCGACGATATATTGATTTGAAATGTCGCGTGACGTCACTTCTATGTACATTTTATACGTAAAAATGACGTTTTAGCCCCCACTCCTACACTTTGATTCGTTTTGTAATTAGATTTTTAATTTTCATACCCTGTCATCATCCCTATTCTATTATAAACTCAAATAAATATGAATGTACAAAAACAAAGGAAAGTCAAAAATATGCTAAACTTTGCATATATCAAGTTTAATACAGTAAATCTTTGTAATATATTTATATAATTTTCAGGTCTAATCCTAATTCACGTCAAGTCCTAGTGCAGGGAAATGCAGGTTCAGTGACAAACTCAAACTTTCACTTCGGAAAAATCACAGTATTTCTCGCTCATGGCTTGAATGGGGATGGTGGAAACGAAATGAATACAAAGCTTAGAGATGGTAACAATACATTCTAAGAACGATTCTGTGCTACCTCCGATTTTGAGATAAAAAAATGAGTATATATCCCACTTTTTATTTCAGCATTTTTACAAAATGCTGATGTCAACGTTATTGTTCTCGATTGGAATCGGTTGGCGAACCAGGGTTATACCACAGCGAGAGCGGGAACTGCTGAAGTAGGAAGAGGACTCGGTCGATTTATAATCTGGCTCGTTGGATTGGGAATGTCCTACGATAGAGTACACTTAGTAGGTTTCAGTCTTGGTGGTCACCTTGTTGGAAACGCAGGCAGAGAAACGGGCTCTAGAGTCAGGAGGATCACAGGTAAATAGTAGAACATTTTTAACACAATTATGATGTAGAATTACAATGTGATCAGTATATTTAACAACTTTTCCATTTTAGCTTTGGACCCTGCTGGTCCGTTTTGGGATAATGACTCCAACCGTTTAGTGAGGACTGACGGTCGTTACGTAGAAGTAATCCACACCGAAATAACATTTACTGGATTTAGAGATTTGTGTGGTGACGCTGATTTTTACCCCAACGGAGGATCGAGCATGCCTGGTTGTTCGCTTACAATTACGCCACTTTCATGTTCCCATGGTCGTGCCTACGAATACATGGCTAGCAGTGTAAAATACAACCACCTCTTAGCTAACCAATGTGGAAGTCTTAATGACGCTATCAATAACAGATGCACAGGATCTCTAAACCCCATGGGTAACAGCGATATCAATAAGTCACGGTAAGAACTAAAAATATATTTATTGTCAAAAACTAGCGGACCCCGCGAACTTTGTTTCGCTTTGAAAATTTATATACGCATCTTTCAACGAAGGAAGAGTCCTTCAATAACAAACCTTCCAGCAATAACAAATCTAACAAAAAATAAATGTGAAATCGGTTCCGCTGCTCTCGAGATTTGCGTTTAGCAACACTTTTAGCGGTTCATTTTTATATTATAACATATTAAGATCAAATGTATGTAACTAAAAAGTTTTCTTTTTTCTTTGTAGAGCTGGAATATTTAGAGTCAACACACGCCAGAACTACCCATTCTGAGAAGAAGAAAGGAAAGAATAACGAAGAATCTAACGCGATTGCATATATGTACATACTTTCAAAAAGGAAGCATTAAAAAGTTCTATTGATTTGATGTTTTGATTATTTTTTTATCTTTTAATCCAACTGATGTTATAAATTACATAATACCTCAGTACCTCAAAACGAAAGTCTATAATCATTGTGGTTACCAGCGATGACCTGTGGAACTGAAACGTTGGCTCTAGTTGTGGACCTCTTTAGAAGACTAAGTAGCATTCAGTGCACTATACATGGTGTTGAAAGCAAGCTGAAGTGTCAGTGGGCAGGGGTTAAAATCTATGCTCACTGCACCGTGCCGTGTATTAGAAGTATTAGAAGCGTGGCGCGATGAGTATCGACTGCAATAATTTATAAATAAATACAAACATATATTATGGCGGTAGGTTAGGCTAATGACGTCACTATTCTAAAGCTACCAGCAGTTATTAAGCACACAAACAGATATGTGCCCGTTTAACAGCAATACATAATTATGTAACTCAGATAGCATATCAAGTTACCCAAATGGTTAGCATATTAAAATTTGCCACACTATTTCATTTATAATTCTGTTCTGACAGTTAGAGTATTCACCAAATGTTATATTGTTTGATAATTTTCGTCGAATCATTATAACATTCGTGTTTGCCATCAGAAAAGGTCTTCTCAGTCTCAAACTTATATAGGTAGGTAATTAGTTACTTTTTCAAACAATCACTACAGGGTAAATTTGCACGGCTTTCCCACTTTATATTTATAGGATAGATCTGGACTTAAAAAGAGACCTTTGAATTAGTTTCGGTGTTTTTTCTCCCTAACAAAGTGATCTCTAAGAGAAGAGACCTTTCCTGGCCACCACGGAATCCGAATCTGACTCCAATGGATTTTTTGTGGGGCTACCTTAGGGCTAAAGTGAACGACACTAACCTAGAGTCGCAGAGTCGCACTGCATCCGTAGAGAAATAGCAATCATATTCAGCAGTGACGTGCCGCGAAAATTATACGGCTTGTCTCAAGAGTGCTGCGATCATAACGATAATCCGTTAAGAAAATTTTGTTTTCCAAAAATTCTGTTTTTCAAGCTTTATTTATTAATAAAAATATAATTCATAATGTGATCAGTTTTATATCAATTATGCGTTTTCATTTTAAAAAATCTTATTGGCCACCCTATATTATGTAACTTACATGTTGCTATGTAAGTCGCAGTTTTATACTCAATAAAAAACTTTATATAAAGTCTATTCATTGTTTATTCATTGTGGGACCCTAAAATTGGGTGTTAGAAAGTAAAAATACCAGAATCATACCTGCATTATTTTTATCAGGATAATGAGCACATAATCTCGGATTAAAATCTATAAATCTACGATATATAAAGATTATAGAATCGTTGACAAAGACTAGATAGTGCCACTCCTCCTGTGTGCTATGAAGTGCTTATTGCTGCTCTTTTTCGTCATAACAGGTAAAAATTATTTTGTGATTTTATATATGTTTTCCGTCTTCTTTCAATAAAAATACTGCAATTTACACATATCTATATATTTTTAAAATGCGTCTACATATTTTTAGCATGTGCTGGAGGCGTCCTCAAAGACCCTATACAGGGTTACAAAGAAAGTGACAGACATATCCTCATGGCAGGAGATGGCGACGACTCACTTCACCTTGTTGATACTGAGGAGCCAGCTGATACTGAATTTATTGAAGAGTATACTAGAAATCCCGCTAACAATGCGTATTGGCTTTTTACCAGGTACATATAATATTGTCTTATAATGACGAATTGAATACAATCATATTATATATTATCAGTAATTAATTAAATCTACACAATAATTATATTTGAATACGCTGCTTATCTTTGTTAGAGTCATATTCATAAATTTATTAGTTTTTCAACTTAACCAGCATTTTACGTAAAACTACTATTTATACAGAATCTCAAAAAAAAAATAAACAAAACAAAGCTCATCAAATTCATGATACTGTTATAATAGTTACAAATAATGATTCTATTCATTGATTTTCAATTTCAGGTCTAACCCTACTTCACGTCAAGTCTTAGTGCAGGGAAATTCAGGTTCGGTAACGAACTCGAACTTCCATTTTGGAAAAACCACAGTATTTCTTGCTCATGGCTGGAATGGCAACGGTGGAAACGAAATGAATAGAATGCTCACTCAAGGTTGATTTTTAAGCCTATACTAGTATAACTTTTTTCTACTATTACAGTCATCATAATCAATTTTGCACTTAGCAAATTTTTTTCATTCTCTTTATTCTTAAATAAATCATGCATCTATCCCAAATTATTTTTCACAAATCATTCAATCATCATTCAATATCAGTCTTATATTTTATTTTGAAAACTACAACAAACGTAGTGACGAATTATAGTCCTGAGCACTGATTCACCAAATATGCCTAAATTATTCTTTAACGAAAAAAAAAATCCTTTTTTAAAAGAAAGTCCGTTTATCGGCTAAAAATAATGATCAAATTATTAAGAAACAAACTTATACCGAAATTACTTCGCACTTCTATTAATTGAGTGATAACGATTAATGAAATATATACTAAGAATTATATTTTCATTTCAGCATTTTTACAGAACGGCGATGTCAATGTCATAGTTCTCGATTGGAATCAATTGGCAAACAGAGGTTATACTACAGCCAAAGGAGGAACTGCTGAAGTAGGAAGAGGACTCGGTCGATTTATAGTCTGGCTCGTTGGATTGGGAATGTCCTACGATAGAGTACACTTAGTAGGATTCAGTCTTGGTGGTCACCTTGTTGGAAACGCAGGCAGAGAAACGGGCTCTAGAGTCAGGAGGATCACAGGTAAGAAGTTAAATATTTTAATCACAATTTTAAAATAGAATTAAAAAATGACTTATGTATTTAATGCCTATTCTATTTTAGCTTTGGATCCCGCTGGTCCTCTTTGGGATTCTGACCGCAACCGTATAGTACGGACCGATGGCCGTTACGTAGAAGTAATTCACACAGAAACAACAATGACTGGATTTAGCGGTTTGTGTGGTGACGCTGATTTTTATCCTAATGGAGGATCAAACATGCCTGGCTGCTTGGTCACTGCACTTTCATGTTCTCATGGTCGTGCCTACGAATACATGGCTAGCAGTGTAAGATACAACCACCTCCTAGCTAACCAATGTGGAAGTCTTAGTGACGCTACTCGTGATAGATGTACAGGTTCTCTTAACCCCATGGGTAACAGCGATCTCAATAAATCACGGTAAGGAATAACTTATTTTGAATAATCAATAATTAAAATCAAACGTATATAATGAGTTTGCAAGCTAAACATTTTTGATTTCTTTGCAGAGCTGGAATATTCAGAGTCAACACAGGCCGGAACTACCCATACTGACAGGCGTAAAACAAAGTATTTACAACGAAACGTCGAAAATCATTTTGTGATTAATAAAACTAAAGTATTTGAATTCATTAATTATTGTTTTAATTATCCCTTTCCTTTTATATGTTATCGGTATCCTATATGTTTCAGTAGTTTACACAATATTCAGACAATGTATAGAAGAAACGTTCAGTACTCATATGAGCGCATGAGGACATTAAATATAAGCACCGAACCAAACATCAAGATACTTTAGACGTCAACCACCTTCGTAGGTTAATCAAGAACCTAATTTTATCCTATTAAAATCAAAACAACTTACTTTTTGCTATTTAAAAACTCAGAAGTAAATAAACTCAAAACTTATTTTAATTTAATGCCCTATAATGTATAATGTACCCCACTTTATTGCATGTAATAGAGGTAACCTTATTGCTATAGCAAATCTAGACTCCGTACTTCCGTACTATACTCGCCGCCCGACCAGAGGCCTTAGTACCAGTTTGTTTTACGTTTAAAATATTCAAAACGAGTACGCGTTCTGCGCTCTGATTGGCCGGCACCAATGAACCAACCAATCACAGCGCCGAACGCGTACTCGTTACGATTACTTTAAACGTAAAACAAACACGTACTAAGGCCTCAGAACCAGGCGCGAGCGTACGGTGTGTCGCGTTCCGCGCGTGCCTCAAGGAGCCATCAGACCACCACAGATGTGACCCAATAGGGCTGATACCGATACGGAGCCGCGGAGGAGTTAACGGGTTGCCGGGGCTCCGGCTCGAAGTGCAGGAGTAGGAACTATTAAACTACTCAAAATCATACCTTTTAACGCTTGAATGCCTGTACATGAGATACAATAGAATATACATTTAGTCTTGCGTGGATCCACGTTTAGACACACGACTGGTTAAACAAAACAGCATTTTGGTTTGATAGAAAATAGCAGAAAATAAAGTTTTTATTAAATTTGTTTGGTTATAATTTATATTGAATTTGTTTGGTTATCACAAATGTTGCTAAGAAGAGACCATAATTATAGCTTACACTGTCAAAAATTAATCAGATCCTGTAGAACAAAGTTCTTAACTCTACATATCCAGTTCTGCCTCTACATTTAAAAACACTAAATTCACATTTACGTTATTACGAAGTACCACACCGTAGCTCGTAGTGCGTACCTTGTAATTCATAGAGCGTAGCGAGTAGTTCGTAGTACGTAGCAACGTTTTCCACTACTAGCGTGGACTCAACCGTACAGTTAGCCACACAGAAAGTGCAGTTTAATCAAAATGCATGGTTTGGTCGTTTTTAGTGCGAAAATATTACAACATATATACTACTAGCGACCCGCCAGGCGTGCGTAACCTATGCAAATGCATGTATTACATATGCATGTATTATACCTACACATAAACCTTCCTATCTATTGCAAAAAACCGCATCAAAATCCATTGCGAAGTTTTAAAGATCTAAACATACATAGGGACAGACCGACGGCTGATAGCGACTATGTAATGATGAACTACACGCGTTACAAATTATAAGTGTCAAATTTAAAGTCGAACTGAATGGTGTGATGTAAAATGCATAAAGCATCAGTTAAATGGCAAATTCCATATAGGCTGCATAGCAGATTAAATCCGTGCCTCGGACCACATCCACGTCCCGCTCTAATGAAGTATTTCTTTTCTGAGGGAATTTATATTCTGAAGATTGGAATATTTATAAAGTTATTTGAATTAAGTTTGAGTAGTATCGAACTATTTAGGTAGATGACACAACTAAGTTCGACTTCGACTAAGACAAATAACACTTTTGGAGGATACGGCGCGGCATACGCTCGAAGAGTGCTCTACATGGGCAGAGCTGCGTCGTGAACTCATTACAGTGCTCGGAGGGAATGATCTCTCATTGCCGACCGTAGTGCGAGCTATGGTTGACAGTGAGAGTGCATGGGATGGAGTCGCTTCCTTCTGTGAACGTGTCATGTTGGCAAAGGAGGCGGCTGAAAGGGAGAGGGAGGCGTCCAGCTCTCTCCCTTCCCGCCATAGACGCGCCGGCCGTCAACACCGTGAGGCGATAGCTGATCTGCGACCTCCATAGGCGAGACCTGCGGGCGACTGATTAGGGGAGTCAGTCGTCCGCTGTATGGCTGTATGGAGTAGGCGTTAGCGGTGTGTTCACGCGCGCCACTCGAGGAAGGAAATCGCAGCTTTTGAGGGCTGCTACGTGGTGGGACCTGCCACAATTTAGTGGTAGGTCGAGGCCTGCCAGGTGCGGTGAATCCGCAAGGGCGTCCTGGGTCACGGCCACAGGCAGAGGAGGAACACCGCGGTGGTTTTAGCCGGTAAGAGTCCGGCACACCCCCCCCGTCGTCCCCACGGCGTGGGAAGTCCATGAGGATTTCCATCGCGTTATAAAAAAAAAAAAAAAAAGACAAATAACACTATAGAACTAACAATTATATTATAAGTCGGTCTACAAACCTGTGTAAAAGTTCTTCGACAGATAAAGTACATTATTATGATACTATCAGGCCTTTGAGAAGCAGCACAAAAAGTTACTTAATTTCTTGTATGTCGGTATTAAAGACACAATAGAAAACGCATTGTGTCTCGAGTAGATCTACGCTCCTACATACCAGAGGTTAATACATTCACATACATAATTCGTATAAACAATTGTAAGCTACGATTATTACAAGGAAAATTCAGTAGTGGTGTCGTATCTCTTACATCAAAAACATTTTAACTACTTTATCTGAAAAGCTGCACATCAGTTAACAAACATTTTGTTGTCAATTATCGGTATAATCCCAAAATTCATCGAAATATGTTTATCAGTAAATATATCGAGAGTAAATTTTCACAAAACTGATATATATTTTCCTGTAATTAGGTATGGATTAAATAGATCCACAATATGATGCTTGGCTAGAAATGCTAAAACCTACCAAACTCTTTAGTCAAACTCACTACTACCTGCTCATTTCAGTGGAATATAAATTGACCAATAAAATTATATATCCACATACTCTCACGTTTAAACTTTCAGAGTTTCAATGATAGGTTCTCCATTTAAATGAACATTACCCACAATGTAACAACTTTTTCTATGGTTTTGAATTACATTTTACTATGCCTTTTTTTTAAGGGGGGGAAAATCATCGAATGACTGCTCCCGCCTTATTGTCAGACTCTTACTGTTTCTGGTCGGACGGGGAGCCACCCATGCTCGCTGGGCCTGTGGCCCATGCTTACGGTGGCCGGAGATCGTCCCGCGATCCCCGACGCCCGGTGTGTCCTTTGCAATGGCTGGGTTGCGAAGAGGCAGCGCTTCGCTGCCTCACACGTCCCGCCTCCTCCTTAGCTAGCATGACTGCTTCGCAAAAGGAGGAGACGGCATCCCAGTACGCCTTGCTCCGCATCATGGCCCGCACTAGGCCCGGACGCGAGAGCGCCATCGCCGATCACTTCCCTAAGGGCACGGCGGTGCTCAACCCACGCAGGGCATTCCGCTACAGTGTGTTCCACCGTGTCCTCAGGGCGGTCCAGGCAGTGTTGACACTCGGGCGTTTCCTCCCGCCCCATCAGACACAGGTACCTCCCGAAACTAGACTAGACCCTGACGCAAGTCCTCACCGGACATGTCCGGTGAGGACCTGCGTCAGGCGGTAGGTGAGGACGCCGTAGCGTCTCTCAAGCCACTCCTTAAAGAGGGGACTTACCGCTGCAATGGCAGCGAGCCCATACTACTATGCCTAGGATATCAAGTTTTGTTTTGTTTTGTAACTAACAAGGGTTGAGGTGAGTTTATTTAACAATCAGAAGTGGCTCCTTATGCCTTTCGGACTGTTTTATGTATTTATGGTGAGTACAAGTAACTATATCACTTAATTAAGGTAGTAACCTTAGGCAATTATAGATGTCCAAGTAGTAACTTGGACATCTATAATTGCCATCTTTTTCCTCAAATAAGCGGTACAGCTATTGTCCTAGCTAGTTCTTTAACTGATAACAAGATCACACCTACATCTAGTTATCGTAACAGATAACATTCAATTGTAATAATCTCGATTAAAAATTCTCTTATAAATATCACATTAAAAAACAATTGAATTATTAGTAATCAGACTAGATAGTGCTACTCTTGTGCGTCATGAAGTGCTTGTTACTTTTATTCGTCGTTATAGCAGGTAAATAATAATAATATCTTTATTCTTCCCTCGCCAAAGAAATGCAGTTTTAATGCATCCTTCGTAGAAAGTGACTTTGAATTTTACATTTAATAAGTTAGTTAACGATGCAATATTTTGTGTGTGTTTATGTACTTTTTACTAATGACCCTATAGAATAAACTTTAACTAAAAAATACAATAAATATGACAAAGGATATCAATATGAGTCCCGGTATTTCTTGACACTAGTAGGTACAGGATTCTCCCATAGTTCCCGCGAGTAAGCTGTACTTTTAAATATGTAATTTAAAAATGTTTCACGATAGTTACTGTATAAAATCTTTTGTTTCTATAGCATGTGCTGCAGGCGTCCTTAAAGACCCGCTTCAGGGTTACAAGGAAGGTGACAGGTACTTCTATTTCCCGGGAGATGGCGACGACACTCTTCATCTTGTCGATGCGGAAGAACCAGTTGATTTAGAATTCATTGAAGAATATACCAGAAATCCAGCTAACAACGGATATTGGCTTTTCACCAGGTACAATCGTACTCAATTTACTTAATTACAATTTACTTAAACGTTAAACCAGACTTAATTTGATGAAAACAATTATTGAATAGTACTGTGATGAATGTTTTACTTGCAGATTCAATCCCGGTTCGGCCCAAATCTTGGTTCATGGTAATGTAGCCTCCGTGGTCAACTCAAATATCGATTTTGCAAAGACTACAGTATTCCTCGCTCATGGTTGGAATGGTGACGGTGGAAACACCATGAACAGACTGCTCACGGAAGGTAATTAAAATCCTTTGTCGCTATTTAACACTGAGGATAAGGTTGACCAATTGCGCAGTAGGTATTTCGTAGCAAGTAAAACAATAAAAACTGTACGGTTGGTAACGAAGACAAATTAAAGAAATATTTAGTTAGCAAAACCTGAAAACTAAAATAAACAAACAAACAAGAATTAATATTTTCTGGCTAATACCAGAATGCCCTACAATTAGGGCGACACATTATCTCTCTGAGACATTAACCAATTTTAATGATTGTCCTCAAATAGGTAAACCCGTAGTAACAAGCATGTCAATGGTGAACAGTAACTTTTTTTAATTTACATTTAGTACCTATAACAATAATATTAACAAATCCGTAATATCTTAATTTCAGCGTTTCTGCAGGATGATGACGTCAACGTTATTGTCCTCGACTGGAGTCGTTTAGCAAACAGGGGCTACACTACAGCAAAACGCGGAACTTCCGAAGTTGGTAGAGGACTCGGTCGCTTTGTGAACTGGCTCGCCGAATTGGGATTGTCTTACGAAAGAGTTCACTTAGTAGGATTCAGTCTTGGCGGTCATCTTGTAGGAAACGCCGGAAGGGAAACGGGTTCCAGAGTGAAGAGAATCACAGGTAATTATTTCAGTGCCAATAAAATTGTAATCCTTATACATTTGAATATTTCAAGCAATTAAAATAAAAAACTACTTCATTGTCCACTATTCCTACTATTCGTCAAATTCAATACTTTTATTTAATTGTCAAAAACGATACTTTTCTATGAATTTTGTATTGGATCGCAACTTATGACGTAATCATATTTCTGCTTCAACTATCATACTTATTTCCTTCAAATTAGCAAGAAAAATCCAAAAGTATGTAAATTGTCAAATCAATGGATGAAAGTATGATTATTTTTAATTACTTATTGCATTGAAAAGCTAGCCAATTGGGTACCAAGTTACATCAGTATGGTATAAAATCACATACCTACTGAGTTATATTTTTTTTTGTTTTAGCTTTGGATGCCGCTGCTCCTCTTTGGGGTACAGACCGCAGCCGTCTAGCGCGTACTGATGGTCTGTACGTAGAAGTGATGCACACTGAAACTACTGTACTTGGATGGGGCGACCCATTGGGTGACGCTGACTTCTACCCTAACGGAGGCTCTAACATGCCTGGCTGCTGGGCTATTGGAATTTCATGTTCCCACAGCCGTTCCTACAAATACATGGCCAGCTCCGTGAAACACAATCACCTTCTTGCCAACGAATGTGACAGTCTAAGGGATGCTAATCGCGATAGATGCCGTGGTAGTCTACACCCCATGGGCAATAGCGATCTCAACAAATCTCGGTAAGAACCATCATAATCATAGAATATTTTAATATATTCATAGCGAAAAGTACGAATAATTTTTAATTGCTGTTTTATTTTACAGGACTGGAATATTTAGAGTCAACACAGGCAGCAACTATCCATACTAAATGATAAATGAATAATTGATGGTTTACCCAACCATCAATTATTTATGAAACTATGAACTGATTCGAAATAAATTACAATCATCAAATGAATGTGTTTTAATATTATAAACTTTTTAATATTTTAGAATTCTTTTGTAGGAGGTACCACAAGAACATTTACATACAATAAAATCTTAATATTTCAATATATGTAATATTATAAGCGCTACAATGACTATTTCTAATCATACTATACCTATCTTTAGGTACTCGTATTACGTATTAATAGGTATTATTCATCAACTATTTATTAATTGAATAGTTTGATTCGACCATTGCTTTAAAAACATGATGAAATCCATCGCAATCCATGTCTGGGCTGTAGGCAATTGAATCATTTCTGGAGATTTTTTAAATACATTTCATTTATCTGTAACAAAAATGTTGTTTTTATTAGTATGTAAACGCATATCTTAACATAATATAACCCATCTAAGCAACACAATCATGAAAAAAGTTGGTGCTCTCTGTCTGTCACTTCTTAGCATCGATTTCTTTAACATTAGTTTTATGGAGTTTTTGTTAAAAACTTAAACATCAATCCAGTGATATTGGATTAAGATTGTTTATTGATTTCGAACAGTTATTATAGAATCCAATCTTCTTTACTTCTACAACAAATTGATGTGAACTAGCGTTTTGTTGCTAGCGACCATTGTCTACATAAACGTTTTTAACTCATGACAAATACTATACATTCTAGAAACAATATTTGCAATGTTAAATACCCCACTTACGTCATTGTATAGATGAAGATCTTAAAGTTAAAATAATTATGCGCAATTTATCGATTGTTTTATCTATGTAAATAGATTAGGGTATATTAGCAATACTGATAGAATCTCAGCATGTTGACGTCGTGACCGACAAACTATTGTAATCTTTTCGACAGTGGCAGCGCAGTGATTTAGATTTAGGCAGATATAACTGTTGTAATAATATCAAGACAATGTAGTTCTTTGTGATTAGGTATTATTTGTCAACACTATCTAATACCTACTACTACGCATACGTACTTTGAGATTTATTTAAGACGTCACTGGGTTTTTTTTATTTAAATTTTTTAAAAGGAATGCAGTATCTGAATGGTAGAGAGAGTACCGAGTGGTCACAAGTGCGACAGCCGGGCAAGGGGTCTCGGGTTTGATTCCCAGGTCGGGCAAAGTATTACTGGGTTTCAAAAAATCTCAGTAGTAGCACGGAGTCTGGAAATGTGCCCGGTATATGAAAAGTGGGTGTTACATTGTACAGTGGCATTAAGTGGCGAAATGTGCACCTCTGCCTACGCTTCGGGGATAAAAAGGCGTAATGTTATGTTATGTTATGAATGGTACGAGAAAAATTATCATCGTCATCAACAACTCCTAACGATCCATTGCTGTACTGTAGGCCTCGACTTAAATGTAAATGAATATACAGTACGAGGAATGAGTGTTGTAATTAAAATAATCATACCTTGTCTTTCTCCAACCATTTTCGTATAAAGGGAGCAAACAATCGATGGTCATGGTGAACTTTAGCAGTTTTTCGTAAATTAACTATGCACGCAATACCAACGGTCACCATACATCCGAACGCAGTGAACCACATGAAAGATATTCTGTACAAGTACGGCACTTTACTGAAACAAAGAAACGATAGCCAATGAAGTCTCTATTAATAATCCAAATTAAAAATTACAAAGAGAAGATCTTGCCAAAATTGGTATTTTTAGCTCAGTGATCAATATTCCAAAAGTATATTTTAAGATTTAGATGCCAACGACATTTACATATTAGATAAAAATTGTAAGGCGCCTGTCTCAATAATTTTTCGTTAACACCAAGTTTCTATCTAAATAAAGGCATAAAAGGTATCCGGTCTGTACAAACCTTTCAGCGTCAACCACGTTATGTACAATTTCATCAAATTCGTAAGTACAGTTTTGTGTAAATCTTGGTTTTTCACTGGATTGCATCAGTCCTCTTGCTTGTGCTAACTGTGACTGAGCGGCTAACCACCAAGCAGACGACAGACCTATGATACCTCCGCTCAAAGCACTCTGAAATGACAATTTTATTCTAGAAACTAGATAGTAAAGTCAATAAAACAAACATAAATAAGCGTGCAAGGAAACATTGCAATAACTACAGGAAAAACAATAAATAAATAGGTAGTTCAGGTTATAATTAAGCATACCTACCTTGTAACACTTTCTTATTTTCCGCAATCGCAATATAGATTGATTTCAGTTTTCATCACATTTCACTATGCAAACATGCAGTGTCATGCAGTAAAAGTTTTCAATACCTAATGTTTTAATAGCACGATATGACGAATACTTATTATATATACTTATTTAAATTAAATTATTAGTTTACAAACATGCAACGCCGGCTTAAATGTAAGATTTTGAAGAAAGTAGCACGCAGAAGTAACGATACAAATCTTCTTTTTGAAATATAGTAAGACCAAAAAAGACGAAACTTCTTACCGTACCGTCGATGAACGGCAAAAATATCCCCATCAAGAAGACTCCGGCTAAAGGTCCCATTGAAGCTGACGAGAGGCTCATAGTCAGTTGTAGAACAGAGCCCAACATTTCTACTATGTATACCAAACCTACAAAATAATAACTATTTCATTATCATCATCAACAATGTCGCCTACAGAAATGTATTGGCCAATTTACAGGGTGGAAGTTTGTAATGCCACCTGAAGAGGAAGTACTCTTAATAATTAGGATAGAAAATTTTACTCAAGGAAAAACATAACATAACATCACGCCTTTTATCCCCTAAGGGGTAGGCAGAGGTGTACATTATGCCACTGTACAATGTAATACCCACTTTTCACGATTTATGTTATGAGTCCCATGTAACAGGGGGTGAGCTTATTGCCATATACCGGCCACACAAAATTTTACTCAAGGAAAACATTCCTTTATTTTTGAAATGAAACAAAACATTGCAATTTACACATCCCCAGATTGCTCTGAAAATAGAAAAAGAATATATAAATTATACTTTAACTATTCATCAAGCGCAGGCAGCAGTTTTCCAACTAGTTTTAACGTAACATTCAACTTCATACAGAATTCAGAATTATTTAATTTAATAAATTAAAAATAAAAATCTTGACAGATTTTAATCGGTTTGCTCAAAGTATAGGCTTTTATTGCATCGATCGTTCCTTTCATTAAAGTTTGTTAGAGAGATTTCATCCTTATTGACCCTAGCAATCGATGTAATAAATGTATGTACCTATAGGATGCAACTTTTACAGATTTTAGTCAGTTCGATTACCGCGTGAGGTAAGCGAATTTTAAAAACTTTGAATATAGTTTTCTTTCTTTTCAAAAATAAAGGAAAGTTATCTTTGAGTAAAATTTTCTATCTTAAGTATTAAGAGTAGGTACTTCCCCTTCAGGTGGCATTACAAAATTCCACCCTCTATAATCCAAACTTCATTTTGCCTGAATCAAATGTTAGGTACTTCTGTCTTTGATGTTGGTAATGTCCATTAATAATGAGTACCCAAATTAATTTCGTTGATTCTCGATTTTAATAGAGGTATAGACTGATCTTATAATTAGTATCTAGATATATAGCACTTCACTAATAACAACAAATAATATTTAAACCAAATTCAATACTCACCGACACAAATAACCCCAAGTATAACGACCACAGATCGGATCATTATTTGTGTTTGCCTATGAGTCAGGGGCTTAAAGAATGGTTTCCAGAAATCTTCCAATACTACAGCAGCCATAGAGTTAAGACCAGTGGAGAGTGAACTGGAAATATCAGATCGCGTGTCTGCTTACTGTCCTAATTATTTATTTATTACTTCATCACTAAAGATAACAGTGAATGGCGAACTTAATGCCTTAAGGCATTCTCTAACAGTCAACCATAGGTAAGTGCAGAGAAATGAAGCCGTTGATGCGAAGCCAATATGTTCACATGAAAAAAAGAAATAATAATATGCGTACTACACACATAAAAACCTATAAAATAAATATAATCTAAATAGATATACATACTATATAATATATACTACTAAACTAATACTTATACCTACTACATAAATATTACAATACATTTCCGTTTCCTCAGTTGTTTCGAGTCTGCCGATGCTTAAATAATTGCTCGCAATGCAATAATTAGTAACCAATTAAGTCCAAAATATTTCTAGAAGATTTTGACACAAACAAAGTAAAAAGTAAAGTCAAAAATGTTATTGGTTATTAATTTCGCCCCCAAGTGAACAAGACAGTGTTTCAAAATATTTCACCAAATTTTTGCAAAAAAAAAAGTCATTAGGGAACCATCCATTTATCAGGAAAAGTCAGTATAATTAGTTATTACTAGTACCTAATGCTTAAATATATACCTGTGGAAGTGTGGATGTGCAAGAACGTTATTTCAAATCTACCTTATTATAATTGTCTTTCCAAATACTCACCTAAGAGATGCACTGAAAACTCCCGCGACAAAAATGCCCGGCATGCCAGGCCAGTCTCCTAACACATCCATTACCAGAAGAGGCAACAGTTGATCTTTGGCCAACGCCAGTCGAGAGTCCAATGGGTCACATTCATGGTACTTGGCATAGGCCAACAAACCACTGTACCCACATATTAAAACTATGAACATTACACCACCGAAAAATCCCCAGATTGCTCTGAAAATAAAGTAATTACATTAAGTATTTATCTAACTTTTTCATATTTGGAGTCTTACTGCCCTTCAAAGACTAGTACTACGACCATGCACCTATAATCATATTTTAATAACATTAAACTCCATTCTGAATTATTTAAGTAATGTTTAAAGGAAAAACTGACCGTTTTGACGATTTAAGTTCAGCCAAGGCTAAGAACCTTTGCAACATAGATTGATTAACAGCAACGTTGCCGATCCAGTAAAACGTAGAGCCAATAGACACTGACCATATCGTATGTCGCACTGTTAGATCCATTGTGACGCTGAAACAAACACCATTTTTTTTAAGATTCTTTATCATCTGCATTATGTCTTGTTTCGGTATGTATTTGTCTATATAGAAATATTACAACCGTTGAATTGTGGAAAAGGCGTCTACAATTTTGAAACTTAATAAATCGCTAACAGAGGTAATAAGGTCAGTGTTCAAAACAATAATGTATCATTACTGTACATAGCACTAAACATTTTTTACTCAAAATAATGTAGTAATTTATGGTCAGTGTTCAAAACAATAATGTAACATTACTGTACATAGCACTAAAAATTTTTTACTCAAAATAATGTAGTAATTTATTGTTAGACAGAAAAACATTGCAATGAATATAATGGAAGGTAAACCTATTATAGCTTATGTTAAATGTACGGAATTAAAAGTAATATTTACGGTGGTATTTCAACTCGTCCTGTGTTCCAATTTTCTCTGAATACTTCCCCGAGACCTCCAGCGATGATGGTCCCTTTTATGATGACCAAGATCATAGCTCCTATCATCACAATAGTCTGTATCACATCGGTCCATACAACAGCCTTTAAACCACCCTGAAAATAATTAAATAGTTTGCTAAAACGTTACTTGATTGAATATTTATTTATTTTAGTAAAAGTAATTTACTAAAATAAATAATTATTCAATAACATGAAAATACTGCAACAATTAATTATACAACCATTACTTAATCAAAGAATGATCTAAATATTAGGTACATGTACCCAGAACAAGTCATGTTGGAAAAAAAGCGGCTGAAAGAGAGAGGGAGGCGTGAAGTTCTCTCTTCTCTCGCCGTCAGCGCCGTGAAGCGGCAGCCGATCTGCGACCTCTATAGGTGAGCCGTGCGGTGCGGGCGACTGACCTTGGGAGTCAGACGTCCGCTATATAGGCGGGATTGGCGTTAGCGTAGTGTTTCACGCGCGCTACTCGAAGAAGGAAAGCAGCCTCCTAGGGCCGCTAAGGTGGCAGGACCTGCCGCAAACATAGCGGTAGGTCGAGGCCTGCCGGGGGTGGTGATTCCGTAAGGGCAACCCGGGTCACTGTCACAGGCAATTAAGGAACACCGCGGTGGTTTTAGCCGGTAAGAGTCCGGCACGCCCCCTCGTCGTCTCCACGACGTAGGAAGTCCATGAGGATTTCCATCGCGATAGAAAAAAAAAGGGTACATGTACCTATACATTGATACGTTAGGAAAAGTTCGCGCATAACTCCCGATTTCTTTTGTTATTTTTCCGTCATAGGCAGAATATGAAATAAAAAAATAACGAATTCAGCGACAGATCTACATAGTACGTACGTACAAGATAAAAACAAAATAAATAGAAATTAGTTCATAATGTTGGTGTCACTTACCAAAGACGTATAAAATATGCACACAAAGCATACTATAGAAGTTGTTATGTGAATATTTACACCAGTTACTGAAAAGAAAATAATCAATTATAATCATAAATGTGGTTTAGAAACAATGTATTTTTATAAGACACTAATATGTTGTAGACTTACCTTGATTAAACGCTAAAGCTGGTACGTAAATAACTATGGGCAGCCACGCCATCTATAATTATCATATTTACTAGATTATAACATATCTAATAAACTTATATTGATGTATTAAGTATAGGTATGTAATAAATATAATTGTACTAATAAGTGTGAAAAATGCCACGAAATTTCCTTTTACGCGCGCGCTTTGTGGTGTCACAGTGTTATAAAATTAAAATGGAAGATGGAAGTCATGGAAGCGCATGCATTGGCAAAGGTAGTCTAGCCAAACAGCCAATCATTAAAAATACATAAAAATCTTATAGAAAGGTTTTTATATTTTTGGAAAAAGCTTTTCACAGCAAAACTTACCAAATAAACGCTGAACAAGACAGATCCGAATACTCGTAAACGTTTATCATACCGAAGTTCCAAATACTAAAATAAAAATGATTTGTATTTCAGGACTTAATGAAAATGATTAAAGTTCGAGAAAAAAATCTTCTAAGTGTAAACAGACTAAAAATATTTTTAATAAATATTACTAAAGCTATTTTAACAATAAATTAATTTACTAACATATTCGCGCCAACAGATTAGTAAACTAAACTTCTTTTTTTTTTCTTAATAAATGGGCATCTCGGTTTTAAGGTGCCATTGTTATTCTAAATACAAAACGAAAAAGTTTTTACATTTTTACGTTCGATTCACTTACCTCGTAAGCTGAAGTCAATCTCAAGTCATGGAGTATTGGTAAAAACGTATAAGATACAATTATTGACATCAATAAAGTACCAATCAAAGTAAATACAAAAGCTGTACCATAAATATATAGTTCTGTCGGTATACCTAATAAAGATATTCCTGAAATAAAACTGAAAAGGAAAACTTTCATGACTAGGTAATTAGTTATTATACAAAAAATAAACTTGGAGAACCTAGAAGAACCTAGGTAATAATCAATACAGTACCTTGCGACCAGTGAGAAACAAACAGGCAATAGCTTCATATTTCGTCCGCCCATCAGATAATCTTGAGTCGAACTCTGTTTCTTCACAAATCCGAAATAAATTCCGATTCCTCCACAAATCGTTAGCATTAAAACAAATAGTATATAATCAAACCACCCAAAATGTTGCAGCGAAAGTCTTACTGCAGAAACGTGAAGTTTTTCTTCAGACATTTTTCAAGAGTTTTATTTACTAAAATAATATCAAAATATCACTTTACATTACACAGTCGACAAAGACACATCTCAGTGTCACAGTGTGAATGAATGATAAAGCAATTTTACAATTGCCGCCCGCGATTTTCTCGATGGTCAGAGCCGTTGGAGGCTATTTTGGTTTCAATTGACCATTTCCTGTACTCGTCGAAAATAGACTTTATCTTTCTTGCAAGTCTACCATCCAAGTATTATTATGTTAGACCAACTGGTCTACATACATTGTAGCTTCAGATGCTTAATATGATCAAATCACAGATAGACCATTATATTGATACACATACCTATTGTTATTATTTTATCTAGCTGTTGCCTGCGACTTCGTCTGCGTAGAATAATGACCTCTGGCAGAATTTAGGCTTTTGAATTATCCTTTATCAAGGGAATATTCTACGGTAACGAATGTCGTCAGAATTGATTTAGTACCTACCTAGTATAGGGCTCCTCCCCGTAGATGATAGCATGATAATATGTAGCCTATATGTTGACCCGACTTGTCAGTAATATTGATGCAAAATTTGAAGTAAGAAATCCATCCAGTACTTTTTTAAATCATCCCGGACATACATACAGACAAACAGATAAACAGACAAAAATTATAAAAACCATATTCATTGGTTTAGTATAGATTGTAGATCACGCTCCATGTATTCTTTAAAAAAAATATTTAATGTACAATTTTGACTTTTCTACGATTATATTATATGTAAAATATTATGTTAATAGATTCTATGGAAATAAAATCGATAACTTTCATCGCGTAGGTAGGTACTATTTATTGTTACTCACAATGAAACTCCAAAAAGGTTACATAATACTGAGTAACAACACACAGGCCACTAACACAATGTACCCACAATGCCATATAAAAAAAATTAAAAAGTAAATAAAAAAGCTATTTTTATAGCATCCTGCATTTTTTTACCTGAAATGGCCAGTACTTGTAAAATGTTTTTAAAGGAGGTTAAAATGAAAACGTTTTTACCGAATCATAATTTTCAAAACGACTTCAAAATGAGCTTAGTTCAACTAGAAAAAGTAAGTTTTAATTCAAACAATTTATTACATAAATATAAAATTAATATATTTTGAAATATCTGTAAATTAACTAATTTCTTCAGATTCAGTAATTGGCTTCATGCTTATTGAGGTAGAGTTCACGTGGCAGGCTTCCTGAAATAGAAAATAATACGAGTTTAAGTTATTTAGATTAGCGTAGAACCAGTACTCAAGTTAAAGACTATAAAAATATAGTTTACATTAATAAATTAAATTTTTCTAATAGGTAACGAATTACTGTAATTATCGGCTAAGCAGTTTATACTAACCTTATTTTGTCCATAAGCACTAATGAAGGGCTCATCAGTAGGGTGTGGAGGTTCTTTATATAACCTTCTTAACTGAGGGGCGAGAAGACATGGAGCGGGAGGAAGGTGCGGCGTCCCTCTCGCACGATTTATCCGGGAGACGATTGCACCAACGCATATGCTCACCATCATCCCAGCGAGGGTATACCACATGTACGACACTCTGAGCACCGGGTTTACTTCCTCACTACAAATATTGTGAAACCATGAGTTACATTTCCAAGGGTTGAAAACAGTTAAAAATGTCCTAATTTCAATATCTCCCCGTAACTGTTCAATTATGGGGTACAGACCTCCTCTAGATGAGAGAGTTCACGGTTTGAAGAGGTAAGATTTATCAGCGAGCCGTTTAGTCCGTTTTTTGACAAGAGAAGGAGTAGCAAATTTGTTTTACGGTGACATCATTACACAAATCTTGACGTGTTTACAAACCGAAGTTGGTTATTGTAGCATTACCCAGCGTCACTTACTGGAATGGTAAACCTACCTAAACACGGATTCTTCAACAACATCCTCCACCGCAGTGAAGTTGTACGTGCACCCTGCAGTAGACAGGGACTTGTGTGAGTGCACTATTTGTCCTCTAGCTATGGCCAGTTGTGACGTGAGACACCACCATGACATCACTGCTAGACCGCTTACACCACCTATTAGGGCACCCTGTGAAAATATAGATATGAGAATATTTTTATATCTCATACTAAGGACGTTATGAATTTGCTCATGTTATTTTTAAGTTGCATTTCAATCAATTTTGAGTTCATATCTAAGCGCAATGTAAAAGTACGTTTGTTAATTAATTGCAAAATCTTAAAATTAACCGAAAACATCATTACAAATCTATGAAAGTAGAAAATAAGTCATATTTTTTTTTTATTACCAGCCCAAAGCATACATGTTAATCCGCGGCTGTCAGAAGTTGTTAAATTGTATTAGTGCGTGTTTTTAATCTGGTTTTAAATGATCATAGTAGCTTATACTTACTGTGGCATCTACCCAAGGCATAAGAATCCCCATAGTGAAAACACCAAGCTGTGGGCCCATCGTCATAGATTCTAACGTCATCGTCAATTGTAAGATTGTTCCCATCTTCTCCACTATGAAAACTAGTGCTGAAATTGAACAATTTATTAGTTTGGAAAATTTATATAATTTTTTTTTTTTTGAAAAATACGTAATGCGAAAAACAATTGTTACTCTGAATCAAGGAGCTCATTATTATTGACCAAGTTGGTTACACTTATCATAGTCAATTCAAGAACATTTTTTTTTTTGAGGGGAAAGTCATATATCCAATTACTTCTCCTGCCCGGGTGAGGCGAAAGGGAGTGTCAGACTCTTACTGACTAAAAACCACCCCGTTCCTAATCCTGCAATTCGAGCCGGAGCCCCGGCAACCCGTTAAGTCTTCCGCGGCTCCGTATCGGCATCAGCCCTATTGGGCCCCATCTGTGGCGACGCGCCATACGCTCAGGCCTGGTTCTGGTCGGGCGGCGAGTCACCCGTGCTCGCCGTCCGCAGGCCCGTGCTTACGCTAGCTGAAGATCATCTCGTGATCCCCGACGCCCGGAGTGTCTCTCGCGACGGCTGGGGCGTGAGGAGGTTCGTACCCTCACGGGCCCCGCCTCCTCCTTGGCTAGCATGACTGCTTTGCAGAAGGAGGAGACCGCATCCCTCGCTCCCTAGGAGGTGGCCGCCGCCGATCACATCCCTGAGGACACGGCGGTGCTCAGCCACCAGGTTACACCGCCACCGTATGCTCCACCGTGTCCTCAGGAGGAGTAGTAGTATAAGGAAAACGCAACGCAAAAGCTCAATGGGTAATGACTTGCAGACACGCACAACATATTTACCTACACAGAGCGTGCCCAGTATTACGACGACACCCTTCATGATCCAGCTGGCCTGTCTATCAGTCAAAGGTTTCTTGAAGAAAGGCTTATAGAAGTCTTCTAACACAACCGCAGACATCGAATTCAAACTCGTTGATAAAGAACTGAAAGTAATATACAACTAAGAAGTATTATGAACCAAAATTTTAATTAAGCTATTAAAAAAATGTGAATGATGATCAAGAAAAGATAAAGTAATATGTACCTTAAAGCTGCGCTAAAAATGCCAGCTATGAAAACTCCAGGCAGTCCAGGAATTTCACCAAGAACATCCATTACTAATAGTGGAAGTAGTTGATCCTTTGCTTTAGCTAACTGAAAAAAGATAACTTAATAGACAAAAGGAGGAGAGGAAGACGATAAGTATCCACAAAATCCAATATTATCTGTAGGTAAAAAGGAAGGTACTTAATGTACCCACATGATAATTTTCCAATATAAATTTTCTCACTCCTCGTGACTCATGACAGATCGTGATTTACGACATGCAATTTTCAATTGCAAGATTGGTTTCACATTGTTCTATCCCGTGCAATAAGAGTCAATTGCGGGAAGTAGGTCGTTGGTGTCGGCGACGTACAAAACCATCCATCACCAACTATAATAGTCTAAGATTTAAATATAAACGTGTATTACCTTAGTCTGCAAAGGATCGCAGTCGTGAAATCTTGCGTAGATCAACAAGCCACAATAAAGGCAGAAGCAATAAAGAAAGGAGATGCCGATACAGAACAGGAATACTGCCCTGAAAATTAAAGAAAAGTATATCATCCTTGTTATATGGACGCTATTAGACGCTAACAGTCTAAAATTACCTCGACTTACCATTTAGCTCCCCGTAAAGTCGGTAATGAAAGATATCGTTGGATCATAGTCTGATTGACAGCATTCGATTGTAGCCAGTAGATTGTCCCGCCTACAACAAGACTCCATATTGTGTGTCGCGTCAGAGGATTTGGATCCCAACTAAAAAATAAAAACACTTTATAACATCGGACAAAGAAGATTTGCTTTAACAGTTAAACTCGAAAATATGTACGAGTGTATCTAATATTTCTCACACTCCTCACTGAAATAATTTTCCACTTGTATGTTCTCAGTTTCTCAGCCATAAATATTGCAGTTAGGACTGATACGAGTCAGTATGTCAACCAGTTGCTATTTTCTTAGATAAACGTTTCCTTTGAATCAGAGCTGTCATAGTGGGTGTCTAGTACAAGTAGTACACAAAGAAATCGTTTCGAATTACGCTACGAAGATGATACGAAGGACGCAATTGAAATTCTTTTGATACAATAGCAATGTACTCGTTTATTTATATCCTCTAGATGTTTATAAGTACCGATGTAAGCACTGCACAGTTAATTTGCACTCAGTTGACGATACTTAGGCGGTTGAAGTAACATACACATAAAGCAGTATAGTTATACTTCCTGAATTTGATTACCAAATACATTCTTCCTTCCTTAACCTTGACCATTAATAAAACAACTTACTTTGGCATTTCAATCCTTCCGCTGTCCATGTTCCTCTGGAAGACAACTCCAATGCCGCCCACGTCAATGGTCCCTTTGATTGCGACCAAGGCCATGGCACCAAACATAGCGGTAATTTGGATCACGTCCGTCCATACTACCGCTTGTAATCCACCCTGAACACAAGTGGACAAATTGATTGATTACTTTTCTGGTTTTTGACACACCTTATAACTTTTTAATTTTACGAATGTATGAATTTGAAACGTAGTTGTAATATTACATACCGCACTTGTGTAGAAAATGCAGACTAAACATACTATCGGAGTAATTATATGTATATCAACACCCGTTACTGGAAATAAAGAAATAAATATCACAGTAACTTAAGTCGTCCTTAGTTTAAGTTTTTGTTTTAAGCAAATCCTATGAACCTAAGAAGGAAGACCATAGTGGTCTTTTAAGGTAATGGCAACTGTTAAAAGTTGAATTAAAAATTTGGGATAGAAAGATTAAACAGAAAGGTTGCATAATGTTAGAATATTCTAATCAAACTTGGTCACTTCAAAGTCATTGACATTACCTTGATTAAATGCCAGTGCTGGAACGTATATCACAATAGGCAACCAACCTATCTGAAATCAAAGAACAAACTTGAATAAACAATTCGAAACTAAGCACAATATTTACAATTTTATTAAAAACTTACCAACGTGAAAGCAAACAAAATTGATCCAAACAATCGCACTCTGTTGTCAAATCTGATTGATAAGTACTGTAAAAAAAATCTCAAAATAGTTATCCCGTCTCTGAAAGTTATCGCATAATAGAATGTAAGATGAAGTCGGTTAAAAAGACCACTATACCTCATAATTAGAAGTAATCTTGAGTTCATAGAACACAGGCAAATAAACCTGCGTCATGATCACCGACATCAAGAATATTGCCCCCATGATAAACGCATATTGAGTCCCGTGCATATAAACCTCTGTTGGTGACCCCAACAAAGTTATTCCTGACACGAAACTGGACAAAGAAGATAAGTTATCTATTAGTTGATTCAATACGTTCTAAAGAAATTTTTCTAATCAATACTTTTGAAGCCCAAAAATCAACTAGAAATGGTAATTAACACTTTTCCCACCAACCTGGCCACAAGCGACATAGAAACAGGAATCACTTTCATATTTCGTCCTCCTAGTAGATAATCAGCTTGCGTCGTCTGCTTCTTCATAAAACCCCAGTAAACACCCACAACAGCACTAATCGCCAACATAAACACAAACACTACATAATCCACCCAAGAAAACCTCTGCATAAAATGGGTTAATTCCGAAACTTCTCCCTGCATTTCACCCATTTTGTCAGTGATTTATAGCTCCACAACAAAATAAAATCACATAGATATCCAAAGTATGCAAGCACTCTACTACCGTTCCCTTTGACCAGATTTTCTTAACAATTTAACTTTTAAATTTTCAGGTCAAGGGTTTTTATTATTGAAATAGATAGCCCATATCATATCGATATGCGTGGCACTAGGCACCCAACATTCAAATGCATGAGTCCGCCGAGACGTAAGCTCAATCTGTTACAATGAAACAATTACGATAACTCGCAATTTAAAAGAGGATGTTGCGAGATCGCCCCCCAACGGTAGCTAGGAGCGAATCGGGAACTGACTACTTGTACTTAAAACGTGTAGGTTGGACATCATCATAAACGCTTCCTCGACTGACAATGACAATTGATTAAATAATGTAAAGAAACTACCTGCTTATCTCAATACCAATAAAATTTAAGATACTATAACAACCTGTTATGGTCATGTACTTAGGTATCAAACAGCACAGCGAGTTAAATTTTTTCCAGGTATAAGACAAAGCAATCTTGATAATAAAAATCGCATTAGATACTTATTAATGTGAATGCATGTACCTACATATGCTGAAAATAACTTTAATTGGTATCTTGCCTAAGATACCAATTTCACCTGCTCCACAGTATTAGATTCGACCGATCTAAGCAGACAAAACCTAAATACCTGATTTGAATTTACGAAATAGTGTTTAATGAAAAAAAATAAAAAGCAGTTTTAAAAGTTTCAATCATACATATTTTAGTAATTTTATAATTGAGCGGATTTATATCGTGCGTGCGTGACTACAAACTAAGGCTAAAACTAGCGACTTATTTTACTCGCAATCTCCTTTATCGAATGATTTAAGCTGACAGTGTACTTCTTCATTACATTCCTCTAGATGAAAAGAGTCTTCATAAAAGTCATTACCGTTCCTCTTTCATAAGACGGCTTAGATCGCCCAAATATTGTTAATTTCATGCGTCCCTACAGAAAATAACAGAACAAAAATTTCGCAAAATATCGCAGATAATGACCAACATTATTCGATAAGTTATTAAATAACATACAACAACTTAGCATAACATCACGCCTTTTATCCCCGAAGGGGTAGGCAGAGGTGCACATTTACGGCACTTAATGCCGCTGTACAATGTAACACCCACTTTGTATGTTATGAATCCCATGTAATAGGGGTATATGGCAATAGGCTCACCCTATTGCCATATACCGGGCACAATTCCGGACTCCGTGCTACCACTGACAATTTTTAAAAACCCAGTACCTAATAGTTTGCCCGACCCGTTAATCGAACCCGAGACCTTACCTGGCAGAGTCAATTGCAACCACTCGGCCAACGAGGCAGTCAAGTTATTAAATTTCCTTTAAAAAACAGTACTTCCACGATACGACTGCATCCGACTGGTAAGTTGGAGTCCAAAGTTGCCCAATCAACAAGTACAACACAAAGTATTGCATATTTACATGTTCTTTATTAAACCTTAGGTACATTAAATACGTATTAAATGTAATGCTACACCATAAAAGAAAACAGTTACCACACCAATAAACCAAGTATTTTTGGTTAAAATACTTCGAATTTGCATGAGTTCGAACTACCCGCATTTGTATTATCTAGTTAAGAGGTTTATTTTATTTTTATTTTATTTTATTTGTCGAATGCAGTAATAGTTACTTTCATATAATTAAAGGTTATATTTGGAGGTTTTGTCCAGCTAGATAGGTCAATTCTTATTAGAATATCTGTGCATCCGGCTGAGAGGGAGTGTCCGACGCTTACTGAATCCTGCTCCTGCTTTTCGAGCCGGAGCCCCGAAAACTGTGATGGCAGTAAATGAACGGAATTCTTGTCTTTTCTTATAATAATATGCCAAAATCAGTCAATAAATCTGGGCTTCCTATTGGTTTGGGCCTTCTATTGGTTCCGCCTATTGGTTTGGGGCTCGCGCAGTACCCTAACCCGCAAGCTTAGACTGGACTCACGCAGCACGCAGGCTTAGGTACACCCATACCTAAGGTGCATAAATCATAATAATACATCTTGCATTTGCAGCCATACAAGAACCCCTCTTATGTGAGGGTAAAGACCTCCTCGAGACTTTTCCATAATTAGGTACAGGTAAGTTTACACACTCCTCAAAAAATATCTAAAGTGGTCGTACATCAACTAATTCATTAAGCATTATAATATTAAATTAACGTCAAATTGTTTCAACAATTACAACACCAGAAACATCGCGAGTACATTCCTAACCATGCCATGAATGAAGTCGTCAATTCAACAAAGAAGGTACTCCCCAAAACTTAGTTCATTTTTCCCGCCTGAGGAATAACACGTTTTGTTTTACCTCTGAAATTATGTTTATCAAACTGACATTCCACATTGTGTTGTTTTTGTTTGACATTTGTGACACTGACAGTACTGAACGACAACAACCGGGGTTTGTGATTGGGAACTTGTAAACTGTTTTTATAAAGTTTAAAACAAAAATAAAGTAAATTGAACTAATTAAGTACTAATATTATTTGTGCTATTTATTATTTCTTAGAAATGGCTGGGCTCTTGTTAAGCCCGACTGAAAAAGTGTTTATCGTGCACGGTGTTCAGGTAAGATTTCTAACCTTAAAAACTTGTAAAAACAAAGTTATCATAATAAATAATTATCGTCGGACCATCGATTTGAATAAATTGAATTAATAATGTGATAATGCTCATTTCCTCCTGCAATGGATAATGTTACTTTGGAAACAGAATCTGAAAACCGTCCTCGCTCATACGTACCACAACCACACTACTTGACCTCCGCTGTTTCCCTAACGGTTGATATTCTTGATTTTTCATAATCAAAATTATAATATTTACAAATCCTTTTGTGGATGGAAATAACTAACTTTCTTTTGTTTGCACAATAATTTGTTTCTGTTTACTACAAAAATATTGTTATTTATGTAGGATGATCATCGCTCCGATGGACGAACTAATATTGATTACCGGCCAATGGAACTAGAGACAAATGTAGTCAGTCATGCCACCGGATCATCGAGACTCCGACTTGCAAACACAGATATACTTGTTGGAGTTAAAACTGAAATAGATGTTCCAACTCCAGAAAAACCTGACTTAGGAAAGATTGAATTTTATGTTGATTGGTGAGTAATAGCATTGTTTTTATAATAACCATCGTGAGACATTCTTAATTAACTTAAATCTAGGGTTACTCATATGAATATACTGAGCCACGACAGAGCACACTGCTCATGAGGAAGAACCCCTCTGTTGTTCGAAACTAGTAGAGCTTTTCTCAGTATATTTACGCGACTAACCTGCGACTTTAGTTAATTGATTATAGCATTATTACAAACTTATGATTCTTTGTTCTACTTATGTTCCTTGCTTTTCGTTTGTCACTATACAACACTAAAAATGCACTGTCGTGCCTAGATCTTCCAGTCTCACTATATTCTGATAGAACAGAGAGTAATCTCCTATGAGAGGTGCACTTTATTAAATGTGACATTATTTAATGTCACTTAGAAATTATTGAAGTACCAAAATATCAGTGGGTTCTTTATGTGTGCGTGTGTAATGAGGTACCATATTACCAGACCTAAAAAAATGACAGATGTCCTTTATGTCAAATGTGTGTATTTCTGCGTGTAAGTAACCAAGTACCGGAGTCATTGTTACGAGAGACTGTGTTCACCTATGTTTAACATCCTTGATTAAACTGTCAAACACCAAGCGGTCACCGGTGACCGCGACCTATTGTTCTTTAATTGTGTCTATAAAACCGGTACTCGACGAGTTAAAATAACATTTTAAATGTATTTATTTCAGCTCAGCAAATGCAGCACCACAATTTGAAGGCAGAGGTGGGGAACAGTTAGCTATAGGGATTGCCAAATTAATGCAAGCTGCATACCATTCCTCAGATGCATTTGATTTGAAACAACTTTGTATATTTGAGGGCAAACAATGCTGGAAAATCTATGTTGATATATTGGTAAGAATACTATGGCAATAATACAGTTTTTGAAAAATTTACTCCCATGTGTTGAATGATATTTGTCAATATAATATGGTTTTCAATGGTATTGGAAACGCTTGTCGAAACTTTAATTGTAAGTGAATTTATTTTTTTATTGTTTGTATTTTATGTATAATATTCCTATTTCCTTTCAGATATTAGAATGTGGAGGTAATCTCTGTGATGCAGTGTCTATGGCTGTGAAAGCTGCACTTCAACACAAAGTTACCATCAGTAAAGGCAGCACTTATGGATGGAGGGAACATAGACCTGCAGTTATCTGATGACCCTTATGATGCTAAATCTTTGGACATTGGAACAGCACCTTTACTAGTAAGATTATTATGTATTTTACTAGCTGAATCATTCATATATGAAAAAAGTAGCTTCTACCAGCGACTTTACCCCCATTCCTGTAGGATAAAAGTAACCTATGTGTTATTACAGACTATAATCTATCCCTGTTCCAAATTTGATCCTTTAGCCGTTGTGATGGAATAGCAAACATATACACAAAGTCAAATACTTTCGCATATATAATATTAGTAATAGTAAGATACACATTTTATAGTCCTCACAGAAAACCGACGTGAAGCAACGCTTGCGTTGTGTTTCGTCGTGTGAGTGAGGTTACCAGAGGCCCAATTACCCTCCCCTTCCCCAATCTCCCCAATTCCTAACATGGAAATCCCCAACGATCCTCAAACTCCTAATCCCCAAAAGGCCGGTAATGACTTGTAACGCCTCTGGTGTTCCAGGTGTCCATGGGCGATGCCGATTGCTTACCATCAGGTGATCCATAGGCTTGTTTACCGGCTTATGCCATAAAAAAAATACATCAATTTTCGAAAAAATTAATGATTAAATTTACCAATTTTCAGGTGACACTATGTAAAATTGGTGACAAATGTGTAGTAGACCCATCAGCTGAAGAAGAAAGTTGCAGCGTCATATCAGTCGTAGTAGGGGTCACGGGAAACCCCAGCAGCTATAGTACTGAAGAAAATGTGTCAGAATCTGCTAAAGAAAGCAAATTCACCACAATAGAAATGATTGGCTCTGGTAGTGTTGCACCAAAAACTTTGAAAGATGCCATGAACCAAGGAATGTAAGTTACCAAATCTTGATCCATACTTGAAAGCCACTGTTGATGTGGCTTCCATATTATGATAATAATTTTTTAGGATACAATCATGATATACTTGACTCAGTTGAAGATAGAATCCACCTTACTTATGACCTTGATAACTTTTTTATTTATTCCACAAAATCAATACCATCTTAATTACCCTGATTAGTTAAAACTTGCTTCTTTTTCCTTTGCAGGGTTGCAGCAAAGTTACTTGACAAAGCTTTAGGTGAAGCATTATTACGAGAAAGACAAGAGACACAGGTCAAGACTAAGAAGCATTCATATGGATTCCTAAGATAAAATATTTTATACTCATTAAAGTTAATTAAAACACACATTACCTTTAATTCCTTTATTGATACTACTATTAATTAAATTTAATATAACCATACATACATAATGGTTTATGCATTATACAAAGAATTAAATTCTAAAATACCTATAATGTCTCTAAATACATATTACTATATAAATTCAGTCATAACCAAATATCACAATCGTTTTGTATCCACACAGCATAATTGTAATGTTTTAGAATTTAATTACAACTTAAAATACCTATATCCAAAGTGATAAGTAAATAAGATATAATAAAAAAATCTATATTAGGAATGTGAAATAATAATGCAATATATTAAATACATTTCAATCAAAAACTAAGTTAGGCAAGATCCAAAGTAACAGAGAAGATGTTAAACTACTAATATAAGGATACATGTTTATAGTATATATAACGTATATCCCTGCACCTACAATGGTTTATGGCTAAGTCCATACTTATATACCATTACTACATTCTACATTACTAATTATATCACATATTCTCAATCACATCTAAAGTTACATGTCTCATAGATATATGTATAGAACTACAGAGACAAATCACATGAATATTAGAAGAGTAACATAGGCAATAACATAGTAAAATAACAAAATAACTTATAATGTCGAAGTTTACTTCTTGACGGGTGTAAGAAGGTCCAACACTGCAGCGATGTTGCCATCCTTACTCTCAAGTAGTTGAGTCAGCCAGCCGCCGTCGTTGGTAAAGCCCATAGCCAGCATATGCTGGATTGCCGCATCAATATGTGGTTCTGCAAAGAAAATAAAGTGTTAAAATAATGCACAATTCATATTGTAACTAAATCACTTTCTGACCGTATTACGCGCGATAAAAATACATGTCATCTGTTTATTCAGGTCAAACAAATATCAAAGTCTACCGAAATAATCTGGCATACTTATAGTTTTCAGATTGTCAGAAGCCTAAATCTTTACTAATATTATAAATTGGAAAGTGACTTTGTTTGTTGGTTTGTTCCGCTTTCACGCCGTAACTACTAAACCGATTGCTTTGAATTTTTACAGACGTAAAGTTAGAAGTCCGGATTAAATAATAGGGTAATTTTTATCCCAGAAAAATGTGGTATTCCCGAGGGAAAACAAAAGTATTGGTATAGATGGCGCTGTGTGTATTGGTATATGTCACATAGACTACTTTTTATCCTTTTGTACGCGAGCGAGGCCGCGGGTAAAAGCTAATAAAATAAGCACGTATGTATCAAAAGTAAGAAACAAATAGTCTACAGTGTAATAATTAGTATGTAGGCATAAAATGAAGCAACAATGAACAAAAGCGATACTATAGCGACCCCGGTTCGCTTCGTTACCGTTGACCTACATAATATTACCTAGTCAGAATTTCGCATGCCTTCACTTTTAATTATTAACCAACTTTAAAAAAAATGAAGGAGGTTCTCAGTTTGACTGACAGTATATATGTCTGTGCGAGATTATCTCGCGATTTTAATGCGGTTTTCAGAAATGTGTTTGTTACACTTAGAATGAATATACTAAAATATTAATTAACCGCCTTCGAAAAAAGAGGATGTTGAAGTCGTTTTTATTAAACATTATAAAGAATTATGTATGTATTGTAAAGAATTACTTATCAATCAGCTGATTTTATAAAGTGCAAAAAATATTTCCATTTTCTCCTTTAATATACCTATATTATTTAACTTGTGTATTTTGATGAGATAGGGGTATTATTTATTTAATAAGTGTTGTTCCGTTACACGAGCGGTAATTCCCGCTGTATAGTATAGATACTAATATAGAGTATAGATACTGTCTATCAAGGCAAGAACTCACGTGATTTGTCTGTGAATTGGATCACAGGAAAATTTTACGATAAAATTAACATCATGTCCATCATATTGATGACTAAGTTTTGTAAAGTTTGATATTAAAGTAAAACAATGTGATGATTCAGACACAAAATTACCTACTTTCTGATAAAGTTAAGTTATTAAGATAATATTGTGAGACTAATGTTATGTTTACGACATTGTAATTGAATCATTGATGTTTACATTCAACTTGGTAAGTTCGTTACTTACTTGGATGGCGCTGCCTAGGCTGTGGTTGGGGCTGGGGTTGCGGTGCAGGAGTAGGAGCAGGTTTCTCCTGCGGCTTGGGGGCTGCGGCCGGCGCGGGTGGAGCACTCGCCGGGACTGCTTCAGCACTTCGGGCTCTTTAGATTCAACACTAAACCATCAGCTTCAGTCAATAATGATGGAACATGTCCTACTTAATTGCTTTATCCATAAATTTAATATTTACATATTAAGATTTAGCAATTCTTTTCAAATCAAGCAATTAAACCAAATGTGCTAACATTTAAACTCAATTTATGAGCATGGGAAATATGAAAAACGATACAAAATTGAAACATTCAATAATTAAATTAATAATTACCTGCAGTTGAGGTGTTCAGTGGTGGGTACAAACCACCTTCGGCGATTTTGACGCGCTCTTGGAACTCTTGGGGCAAGTTGAAGCCGATGGGAGCAGGGGTTTCGGGCAGTGCACTAGCCGTGTCCATCAAATCTAAAATAAATACAAAATGTTAAAATAACGAAAAGAAAGCCCTTACTAAGGACACTGCTAACAAAACAAAAATATCTAATTTATAACTACCTTTTTCCTTGTTAATCAGGGTCCAGTCATCAGCCTTGTCTGGTGAAGCATCCCTGGCGTAATCACTAACACTGGATGCGGAAGAAGATGTTGGCTTAGCAGGAGCATCAACAGTCTCAGGCGACTTCCTGTCTCCTTGTCCCATTTCCACATCATTAGTTTGAGTTGATGTGGGGGCAGTAGTATTAGCAGGTGCTGAAGGTTGAGCCTGAGGTGCTGGGGGCACAAATGGATTGCCATTCTTCCAATAAACATCTCTACTAGCTCCATAAGTTGATCAACATTAAATGCCTTAGGTGTATTGAATGGGCATTGAGTTTGAGCATTTGCAGAGGTACTTGGCTCTGGTTGCTTAGGAGCTTCAGTTGATTGGGTGCTTGGCTGTGCTTTCTCCTGGCTCTCTTGAGGAGTTTGAGCTTGCGTTTCGGATGTCTGTCCCTGAGTTCCAGTACCTGTCTTAGTTTCAGGGGCCTTTGGCTTATGGTCATCGAGATCAATATCTCCTGCGAGATTGGCGAACTCGTTCATGTAAGTAGCAAAGGTGTCGAGCCAGCTGACGCGAGTGCGGCGGCGGTGGTGGTCGTCGTGCGGCCCGTGGTGCGGCCCGCGCTCGGCGTGTGGGCCGTGGTGGCCGCCGTGGCCATGGCGGTGCTTTTTCTCAGAACCCCTTTCGCTGCGATGTTTCTTGTAGGGGCAGTCCTCGCCCATTGCATTAGCAACAGACTTCAAGAAATGGCGAGACCGTTTGATCGCAGCCTTGATGATAGTGCGCTATAATAAAACAAACAATATTAAATAATCTGTTAACCATATAAGCTACAAAAAAATAGTAACAGCCTTAATCACGTTATTGCGATAAAAAACGGATGTATACATCCTGTCGTACTTACAGGCATGGCCGGCGCTGGAACTCGGATCATGCAATGTTCCGGGTGACGGCCTGCGGCTTCGCATCTTGAGCACAAGTCATAGTCATCACAGATGGAACACTTGTAGCGGAAGCCGACAACGGAACCATCGCATGAATCGCACACCACTCCATAGTGAACTGCTGGGGCACCCGGAGCTTCTACAAAAATGATTTTAAAGTTATAAAATGTACCTCTTAATAATTCTTCCATTATATCTTACATACAACACAGGGCATGTGTATGCGGAAGGCTAGAATAAACTTGTTATATTGTAATCTATTTGTTCACTTGTAAGTGCACTTGACAATTGATATTTATTGCTCTGAACTGAAAAGTACTGCAAAAATAAGTATATTAACTTGTGAAATAGTTATAAACTTACCAGTAGGATTGCCAGCTACAGCTGTGAATACAATATCACAGCCCTCATTCTTAGGTTCCTCGGACTTGCAGTAGACAAACAGCCTGATGACATCTCCACCCAACACTTGCAAAGCAGTCATCACTTCATCATCCGATGAAATAACAACATTATCGCCATCCTCATCTGGATAAGATAAATAAGATTCAACTTAATACAACTCACAAATTGCTTGAAATTTATTTTGAACTTGTACAGGAAAAGTCAGCTGAGGTGTCATTGTATTTTAATTGTAAGTAAATAAAATAGGTTAATCAATGGTAATACATGCCGTGAAGGTTACCATTATTAATATTGTAATGATTTGTTATTTTGATTCTTTTAAGTTTTAAATGTCATAGCATAATTTATTTTTAATTACACTCATTACAACTACTCACTTCAAAAATGTATCTTAGTACCATTTTTAATTTACCTATAAAATATAAAATGTTGTGCTTACCTGTCCAGGCTACGGAGTAGGTCTTCGTTTTGAGACCAGGGTACACATCCTGGAGCTTGGCATTCAGATAGTGAAAGCTGGTGACAACACTCTTCTCTACGCCAAATCTTCGGACTTCTGGCTTGCCATTCTCAGTCCAGTATGTATAAACTTTAAAAGGAACTTGGTCTTCCATGGCTGTAAAGAAATACTTGTTTTTATTAATAGGAGGAAGGAAAGTAATATAATATTTTATGAAATGATACTGACTGGTAGATGATGCAATACCCAACAATATTTATAAAATTTTGTTTAGTTCTGTAGTACTTAAATATCTAATAAAATAAATATTTCTAATAGCTACCTTAAGTATCTTCTAGGATCTTAATAAAAAATGGTTATTTTATTGATAATTATCAATTAATTACTCATTAAATAATTTAACTTGCTGAAATGAACAATAAGTTAATTCAGACTCAACATAAAAAGACATTAAATTTATTGTCCCTATCAGAATTTCATTAATATTTATAACATCAATAAATTATTTACCAAAATGTAAAGTTATTTTTAATGTTAAGAAGATCTTTATAGCTTAAGAACAAAAGCAAACCTATTTATGATTACTTGGAAACGATTGGAATCGATTAATGTAATCATTTTCCTTAATTTTTTGAGATAATATTACATTTTAAAGACAAAGGAAATGTTAGTTTTATCTAATAACACCAAAACTGTTTATCTAGAAGCCATTTTGTAAGACTTCCACTAACTATATCAACCGGATTATGGAAAAGAAACTAAGCAAAATCTAGTTAGACGCGAAATATCAATTCTACTGTGAGAAAACTGCACAACTAATAATAGGTATATTTATAAACTCACCTGATATATTTCAAAATAGTCAATAACAGAATTTTAAATTTTTACGAAGTACACACTGACACGGTAATGCGTCGCAGTTTGAACAAAGTTCTACAGTGAATATTGACCACTACGACGCGCACGATATATATAAACCAACATAATATTATGAATCACCAAATCGAACAGTTGAGAAAAACAATATTGTGTTGTGCAATCGATCTGTCAAAACAAAAAGTCATCATCGCGTTCCCGTACACACTTTTTTTATATTTAGAGCATCTTATTTATATTTTTTCTCGCTCTTTTCTATGTTTGAAGTTGAGAAAACGATATACGAATGAAAATTCAATGTTGAAAATTTGAGTTTAAGATTTTTGTTTGGGATGGAATACAATTAAGCGTTCCATTATAAGCAATATTTTATTTTGTGTCAGTATTTCAAGCCGATGATTTTTAAATAAAAAAAATATAATCCTTGAAATCACATCTCAGATAAACGCGTAAAGGTTTATAAGTAACTATAATAAATAAAATAAATTAAGAGCAACAAGATAATTCACCATTTTATTCATAATATCATCAATATTTTCACTCATAGAAAGAAAAGGGCTGCGGAAGAGAAATAACGACTATTCGCCTAGTCATGTTCGAAGTATGTAAATCATGTTATGGAGGTATATATATTGGTATACTTTTGAATTGAGGTAATAATAACCAATGTACATTTTACTGCAGACGACTTAACATAATTAAATAACAAATTGGGAATCGAAGTCAATATCCCGCGGTCGACAATCATACGCAGTGGTTGTTGCATTAAATGTTGATGCATAGGCTTAGGGTGCATTCACATTTGCCTTTGTTTGCGTTTGCGGGCTGCCCTCATGCCATAGCTCATGCAGTCACGGCAATAGTTTGGTGCTCAACACATGCGAAATAAATAAGCACATTCGTCAAATGTGGACGCACCCTCAGGTGCTACCTTTCAAACAGAATGCTGAACATTCAAGATAGCTCATGCATTTCATTTGATTTTACGTTACGTATTTTTCCTACACCTAATGCTCACCACTGCTTGTGTACTTTTGATATTAGACACCACTCATCTCTAAATAGGTCTCGCGGAGAACCTAACGGGTAACCGGGGCTCCGGCTTGACGTGCAGGAGAAGGAAAGGGGTGGTTTTTAGTCAGTAAGAGTCTGACACGCCATTCCGCCTCACCCAGGCGGGAGCAGTAATTCGATGATTATCCCCCCTTAAAAAAAAATCTAAATAGGTACCTACCCACATTCCGTATTTTTTGTATGAAGTGCATTATTTTTATAGTTACAGTTACCAACTCCAAGCTGTCCATTACAAGAGGCTAATTCAATTCTTGTACTTTATTTTCTGTGTTATAGATTTCATCACTATCCAAGGTCTTACACAAGACTGGACAAAATTACATCAAGGCAAACTGGTTTGTAGGACATCGACACCATCATTAGTATGGGACAAATATTTATGGCAATGGTTTGGTTATTAGCATAGTTTTTTATAAATCGTGCGACATTTTTAACGCCAAAATACTTAACGGTAATAATATTAACACAACATATTTGTAAGGTAGAATCCTTACTACATCATCAATTTATTATAGAAACTGATGTGGTTTTAACTTTGCATTATTGCTTGGTCATCATGTGTGAATTGATTGTGATTCAGTGTGATGAAATTGTGTAAAACTAAAAGTACTTATCATAGTCAGCGTTTTCGTCTCTGTGTTTTATTAAATCATATTTTAACTTAGGCTAAAATAACAACACACATTTTATGATAAATAAAAACTTTATAACATTTTCCATTACACCTCTATTTTTTCAAATATAAGACAAAACAATATTTCTTGTACTTAAAACCAATAAATTAATAACTAATCCTGATGCTCTTTCTCTATAGCGCGAGTCGATCGTGGTACATAATATTGTGAATTTGTTGATTCTCCAAACTTAGGAGGACCACCTAATTGTACAGTTTCTGGAACATTCAACTCTTCATTCAACTTTTTCGCCAGGAAGTATATTTCTGCTAGAGCTATTACTAAGGCACAGATAACACCTAGTAATAGTCTAAATCCAAAATCTAGATTGCCCACAAGCCACTCGACCCCTCTGAATCCAAACAAGAATCCAGCAAATATTGATATGATGAACTGTCCAATGGCAATCAACTGGCGATTCATTTGTTTCACTGAAACGAGAAAAAAAAACAGTTTTAATATTTTATTACACTTTTGTTTGATATCATCCACCCTCTAATACTTAATTACAAAGAAGAATGGGAATTGGTTTTACTTCACAACATAGAAAAATATGGAGCAACACTGAATGTGTCATTAATAATTAATTCATGGTGAATATATTAATTAAAATACCACACTAGTTAAAACCATTACTGTTATACAATATGTACAGAACTACAGATTTATACTCCAACACAGTCTGCTGTAGGTGTACGCAAAATTCAATGTAAACCCAATTAAATATTTAATTCAGTGTTCTAAAAATTTTTATACTACCCCTGTGTCTCTAATCGAAATATAACAGATTTTTTATAGTAAAATAAATAAATAGGTACATACATTGATAAGAGATACTATCTTCTGGAAAATTCATTCTAACATTATCAACAGATTTCGTCATCTTTCTGTATTCTCTTGCTTCTTGTTGAGCCCTCAATTTGACACATCTTGCCTCAAGTACAGGATCTCTTGGAAGTACTTGGTTTTCTGCTGTTTCCACAGTTGAACCTTGTAACAAAGCATTTAAGTATGGGACATCTTTATCACCATCTGATTTTGCTTTTCTTTGTTTTTGAAGGTAAGTGTAAAGCCAGTCTATATCAGAAGTTAATAAGAACAATTCTTCTTCTTCTATCTTATCCTTTCTTTATTTAGTTTACTTTCATCTAATGCTTGTTCTTCAGAATTTGTTTGTTCAGAAATTGTACTTTGTTTGTCATTATCTATGTTATCGTTCTTAGGTTCCTCATCAACATTATCTTGTTCTTCTTCTTTAACTTCATCATCCACTTTCATTATAGCTTTTATTTTGTTTAAATTTTCAATATCAGTGGCGTTTAAATGTACTGGAACTATCTCATTACCATCTTCGGCTCTTTTATGTTTTGCTTCGTAATCTCTTCCCTTAACCAGTTTTCCAATATTTATAGGTACATCATCAGTGATGGGTATACTTTTAAGATAATCAAGTAAATTATTTGACGGGTAAATCTAAATTGGTATCAACAAGTGATCCTACAGAATCCATTATTTATTTGGCAATATTTAATTTGTGGTTAAGATCAGCATACAAATCCCTTAGCTCTTCTTCTTTTTCTTCAAAAGTATTGTCAATTCTTTGGCATTTGAAGTTCATATCATCAATGAACTGATCCCATTCCTTTTGTCTCTTTTCTTTAAGTTCCTGTCTTCGTTGCTCATAGACCTGCAACAGAATAGGATAAAATGAAATCACGAGTTCAACGAATCTTACTCATGCTAGAAACCAGAACAAAGAATCTTATAGTAATACATTCTTAAAACTCTAACTTCAGAATTTTTCTCATTAGACTCACCTTCGTGAATCAAGATAATCCTTCTCGACTTCTGCACTGAGCTGTAGCGCTTGTTCCAACTTCTCCTTCAGAACAGGCAGGCCAGTTTCCCCAGTTTTTATAATCTTCTCAGCCTGACTATCCTTGATATCAGTCAATTTCTCAAGGATAGAAAACAAGTTCTCTACTTCTCGATCTCCACGCTTCTCCTAAAAATCCAATCAGATTACAAATTCACTTTTATCTAGCATAAAATTTTATTCAATCATAAATATTTGCTTATCATTGCTATTGCATTTTTAGGTTAGGGAATAGTGACATTATGATTTATATGTGAGAAGTTAAATGAAGATAACATTAGTTATTGTGATGGTGCATTTTAAAAGATATCTTTTATAATATGACCAGTGACCACTAATCTGTAAAACTAGCAAGACAAACATGCACATTATGATACAATTGTTTACTTTAAAGTCTCAAGTACAGATTTTCCTTCAAATCTAATAGGTGTATACAAACCGCTACTGATTCTAAATGGAAAAAATTAAGTAAGATAATATTACACTAGTAGGTAAGTGATAATGACCAGAATTAAAGAAAGTATTAGTAGTAGCCCAGTATTTTAGTTACTAATACATACCTCAAACTCCTTTAGCATAAACTTTATTTCACCATTTAGGAATGGGCGATGGTCGAATAATCTTGACCAGATCTCTCCAATCTCTGCAAGTAGATAAATCAAAGGTCAAATTCTCACGAGGAAAGGGACTTTTAATAAAGTTATGCATATATAATAGCAACAAGTTAAAATGTTCAAAAATAGGATATAATTGCTTTACAATAAATACTGCCAATATGTAGATGTATGTTGTAATGCCTTTCTTTATTTGTAAATAAATAAAATACGGGACAATGTTATTAACATTTAAGTCGGTAATTGAACTTATACATTATTTTATATACAATTCACGGAAACTTACAAAATGAGATATAAACTATGTGAGAATATTTTAAAATAATAAAATTTAGGTAGGCCACACAAACCTCGTGACAGCTCCGTCATAATGTCATTCAGTTTACTGTCTTTTGACAGCCAGTGGCTACAACACGTATGATTTCCGGTTTGCGTTCGGATATTTTTTCCAGTAATAAACATCGTTGACGTATCGACATTACGTATAAAATTAAATAAAAGCTTTTATTATTCGATTTGGTCTTGTTTTGTAAATTCTAGAAATAATTAAAGATATTGATGCAATCAATAACTTCTCTGTAAATAATAAACGAAAAATAAAAAATAAAACACTTAAAATTACTGTATTTTTGTGTTTCTACTTTTATTAGCGGGTACTGGTGCCTTTATTTACAAATACTTGGGAGACTGGAAAATTACGAACATTTGTGTACCTATTCGACAACCAAATATCCCAGGACCGGAAACAATACCGACAACATAACAACATTTATTTTCGTTCATTCCTTAAATTCAAAATCGTTCCTCCTCATTCAGGTTTCAATCAATTTAGTAACTTCATTCATCTTTGCCGAGAATGGGCGGTTCGTGAGTTGACGTGTTTAGATGCGATATTGTTTTTATTTGCGCAGAAGTGTTTTGTCGGTGATAATGTGTTTAGTTTGCATTGGAAAGTTCGTTGGTTTCGTGTGATTTGTTAACTATAGACGGATGTGAAGCTTGGGACTTAAACTAGTGGAACTTCGAGTCTGGCCACCATGCCGGGTCTTATTGGTATTGGTGAATTCATTGAGGAAACTCGAGAGGATTACAGTTCACCTACTACTTCTACGTTCGTATCTCGCATGCCACAATGTCGTCAGACCATCAGTGCTTTAGAAGAGGTAAATTCAGCCATTTAATTCCTTTATTGTTGAAGTGAAGCTAAGCAGTTGTCAAGATAAGAAAACATTATCTTCCTGATCAAAAACAGGGTGTTAAATAATTTTATTTTAGATTTTTACTATTTACAAAAGACCTATTTTACTTTAAAAAATGACATCAATGCGGATCTCTCTTTTCTTTACAAATAACTACTTCCTAAAAGTCAATAGGTACTGATGAGTTGTTTTCATTGCAAAAATGAATTTGCATTAGTTTTGTTTGGCTAATGACAAGCAGTGTTTTAATACATTTGTTTGTTTTTGACGTAGGTGCAGTTTAACAATTGTCTTGCTTTATTAATAGAACTTGAATGGAGTGTGTTTTAATTTGATAAACGTTTATTTATTGAATTCCGCGCGATAGGAGGATAAGACCAGGAGCGTAGGTGCGTCTCGACCTTGGAAACGCCCCCTTGCTAAAAAATGTGTACACCCTGTTTTATTGTGCCCACGCAATATAGAACAATTGCCGACGTATTACTTATACTGCAATTTGATTTGATTACGAACGCCTATCGTCATTTGATATTGATGCAAGACCCTACAGCTCGCATTTATTTTTGCTCCAATGAACTAATAAGAAAGTCCTAACTTCATTGTAGTTTATTTTGCTGTCGAGAAGATTATGAGCTAAAATAGTATGAAACTTACTTCAGCAATTCAGCATCCGTGTGGTTTTCACTGCTTATATTATTTCTACCGTCCTAAATTCAGATCAACACGAAAATAATACGGAAGCAAATTGAGAAAATACATAGGTATTGAAAAAAATTTGTATAAAACAAAGGTAGGTAGGTTGGTACTGTACCTAGTCGAATGAAGTAAAAATCGTAACAAACCGTACGTAACACCGGATTGAACGAAAAAAAAGAATGTTTTTTTCAGCTGGATTTACAGTCTACTTATTCAATAATTGTAATATAGGTAAATAATTATTTGTAAATGAATTTTATCGACGTTTTAACTTGTACCATAATTCTACATCGTACGACCCAGGAATGAAGGAAATTAACTTCCGGATCCTACAGCAATCTCGTTTACTACGGCGCGACGACGAGATAGTTTTCTATTGAATCTTTATAAAAACATCGAACTTTTCCAGCTGACACCACAGAGATGTCCGAGGCAAGTACTAGTACCAACGTAGCTAAATCCAGTATAAATTATCATAAAACCTTCTAGCTCTAAAGAACATAGCAAAGGCGTTATGTCTCCGCAATTATCATGAAGGAAGTTATCATGAGTAACCACCGGAAATGCTTATTAGGGGACGACACGCTTGACATCTGTCGAACATTCCATTACTCAGGTGATCCTGCTTGGAACATTGTTTCCGGTGGCTTCGAGCTTTTTTCAAACTCAAAGAATGACCGTCGCGAAACACGTCCATATTTGGGGAAATATTTATAGACCAGGTGAAGCACCTCATTGATTTGATTTGTTATATTTATGAGAAGCATGTTTAATTAAGTATCGTCTTTCATATGAAAGTTCAGCAATAAAAGACAAAGAAGATTTTGCTATGTGTGGCTAAATAAAATGTTGATCATGAAATATTAAACAGATGAAAAAAGGTATATTCAATAAAATGAATCTTGAATTAAAGCTGAACCTAAGCCGCAAACGTAGGTAATGATTACGTTTTTCGTAATACCTATTACCTAGTTTACTTAAATTAAAACGCATGGGATATTCTATTGAAAATGTAGATATCTGGGATCCCAAATGCGGGATGTGGACTTGGTAGTCAGCCGGTAATTGACAATATTTGTGACGGTCAACCGCTTGGCTCGAGTATCGACAAACGCCTTACGACTCTTGCGAGGCTCTTGTTAGTTGTTAGACAGATAGATGGGTCAAGGGTCTGATTGACGTCGAGAGTTATTGTAGTACGTATTTCGGAACGTAAACAGACCTATATTTCTAAATTATGACGTTACTCATCTTTCATGCTCTAATAGATACGGTTTGGAAATCATAATTGACATGGTGTCATGTAATATTGAAACCAAATCTTAGTCACAACTACAACTTTCAATATAATACAAGTACCTACGTACACTATATCGCTACATATCATTGTGTGTGTTTAATGTCCACATAACTATGCATACCAGAAAGCAATGTAGCATCAACGACCTTGAGTAACTCTACGATTCCTAGAAGTCACAGACCTGAAATCTGACGCCATCTTCGTTCCTTTCTTTCTATCTCAAGTATAAATATATACCTATATCCACAGAAATACATATCTAAGTTCTTAATATCTGTCTGTCTAGACATTTTCACTGCAAATTCACAGACACATAATTTAATTCGTGTTTTTCGCTACAACATCCTAAAGGAGATTTTTGTTTGTTTTTTTTTCGAGTTTTATCCTCGTTTCTATATTTGGGAAATGCCTATAAATTACGTAAATATTCGATTCGGTCGTTTACCTAGCAAATAAACAAGTCCATAGGCAGTGCAATAAATAACCTGAATATAAAGCAAGCTGAATTCACGTTGTGATTTTCAGACGCTTTCAAAACTTTTATTTTAGTCGTAAAACTAGACGAAACAAAGAATTAACATATTCCGCATAATGAACACAAAACAGGGATTACGAGTTTAGAGAAAGTTCGACATTGATATCTCTCTGACTACGTTGCAAAAGGAAACCTTGACCGGTTGGTCGACTGGTCCACGAACAAGTTTCAGGTTACGGAAATGAGTATTTTATTTTCATTGTTGTAATATGCTCGTCTAACACGCATTTCATGATCAATACACATTCGTTTGAACTTGGGTGATAGTAGTTAACTATATCGAAACAAAGGAAATAGGGTCGGTCAGAAAATAAACAAAAGTATCAAATAAGTCGCTACTTACACCACCACCAATAAGTAACAGGTATATGCAACTGCAAAACAATGTAACTTTTATGTTTGTAAATAGGCAGAAGCCTACTGATTACGTGAACACAATAGACCGCGCCCGATATTCTTATCAATGAGACGTGTAAATGGCAACTGGATACGACTTGTTTTCTGTTATCAAACTAAACACAAGTTGCAGTTTCCAATTTCCTGCGTGAGCCGACTAGCTGACCACTGGTCGTTATATCGGAACACGTTTCCGCTAACAAGTAAAACAAACTGCGATAGAAAGGTAGCCCAACGTAGGTCACTGGGTCGCTAGGCGGTCTAATGGAAATTTCAAATTATCAATTTAAAAATCATCATGTATTGGAAAGTCGTATCATTAACATCAATACCTCAAATATAAATACTTCAAATTAAGAATTTAATGAAACCACTCAATCCATTAAAAACTACGTAGCATATCTGTTACTCCTACATACTCGTATTCATTTATAACAGAGCAAGGAATGAAATAATCCAATAATAGATATTTATAACTGCAAACATCGTCGTCATATACCTACATAACTGAATACGAAGATGCTGTAATGTCGTCATATGAACCATTTAATGAAAGCTTAATGTTGTGGCATAAATTGCAGTGTAGCCTACAAACACGACAAAAGTGAATTATCTACTGTCCTAAGTGTTATGATGACGCGCAGTGAATGCTGATGACATTTTGACGACAGGGACGCTTAGGTACTTAGGCGATTGAGAAATAATTGCATGACCGACCAGTCACTATAAACACTACCCATTATAAAGATTATTGTTGTAGGCTTAATAGAAAATAGTTTCTAATTTCAACTTATAGAACATTTTTGTTGAACCGTAAACAAAACTAAAATTTAGTTTTAAAGAAACGGTTAATTTATGTAATTTTAGCCTCGTATACCATTTCACTGCGTGCGTTTAAAACGTTTGGCTAACCGCCAACAAGTAACTGGGTACAAATTGAATAAACGAATCGGTACTTAATCAATGTGAGATAGTCGAGGAGTTCCGAGAAAAAATAAACCCATTATGGAAAAGGACCAAGGCTTTTACACCTGTATGGTCTCAAGCGATCCCAGGATGAGTGTTTAATATTATAATACTTAAGTACTTTACGTACTCATTTTTTGACTCTTTTCCCTACACGTCATTAACATACCTACATCAAAATTTAGTTTTGATTTATATGGCAAATTATTATTAAAAAAATAATAACTAATTTACTCAACACCTGTCTTTCACTTAAAGAACCTCAACAAATTTTGAATAGTCGTAATTAATCTCAAAACTCAAGCAAGATGAATATGAATTACTATTCTATTATCTGTTTGGTCGTTATAGTGCGTTGTATGAATAGGCCTTAAAAGGTCAACAGCCAATGAGTCATCATCCATGGCACTATCTCGCGCTGCATAGCGAAGTCTTCGACTAACCAAACAGGAGATGCGGCACACGATAAAAATCCTTCATGACTCACATATGTGGTGTTGTTTGAGGAATGAATTATCAGATGAAAAATTACTATAATACTCCTTGTCTTGCTGTCCGATGACGGTGTGTTTTGTTAGAATTAAACAATGAAATAGTAAATAATTATTGTAATATAGAAATATCTACATTCAATGATGATATCGAACCTATCGGAAGATTTTTTATTCATTAATTCATTATTTTCATGTAAATTATTAATTAGTGTACAATTAGAAAACAAGGGGACGGGTTCAACACCTGGCGCGTATTTACCAATGTGATTTATCTAAGTTATAAAGACTTTCTACGTCTATTTAGACTTTTAGATACTAGGTGAAAGAAAACGTTGACGTGAAGACAGATTAAATTAATAATCTGAAATCGCCACTCCGCCACAGAATACTAACTCCGCCTCGCCGTTAGCAAGGTTAGTGATCAAAGTCGCAAGTGATCATTCCGTCTCTACACGAGAAAAGGCCTTAGTAATTCCGATGAAAATTGATCACAATAAGAATCCTAAACTTTAATTAAAATTTATAAATATTCCCATTATTAATATAATAAAATGTGCTATAAACATACACCTAATTG